TCGAACGTCTTTTACTTCAATAATTGCGAATGTGATGTTTGAATTTTATTGGACTAATTAGTTGAATATTTGTATGCAACATTCGATTTTGACACTAATGTTGATATTACACATGTTGCGTTCGTAGGACAAACTATTCGTTTGATCGATAATTGTCAAACTTTATATTGATGGAATATTCAATTCATGAGGTAATATGAATTCTGTATCTGCTTATAACAAAACGAACTATGATTTAATTTATTTAATAATTTGATAATTATTTTTGCAATTCTGGGAATGACACTTTATAATTTTCTTCAAAATGAAGTATATCCTATGATACTAGTTGTCAACTTCTGTTCAACTGTATTAGTATTTCAAGGCACTTTGCTTCAGGAGTCTGTTTTTTCAATTTATGCACAAATTTGAGAAAACTACTTGTGTTACTCTTTACACCAAATAAAGATAATATGAGCCTGTTGATTATGTATTTTACTTGAAAATACAATTATCAGTTAACATTTCATTTCATTTTAATCACTACACTTACGCATTCATGATTTTATAACGTATGCAAATCTCTAACTATGTATAAAAATAAAAATGAACATCTGCATTGAATAGTATTTAACTCGTTATTTTTAGTTGAAGAAAAACGTTGTACATTAAAGATTTATTTTATTAAGTGCTAATAAGCTATTTAATGGCTATATTTCAAATAAATCTCTATTTTACGGGTAAAGCTAATGAAAATACTGCTGACAATACTTTATAACGCGATTGTTTGTTTGTATGTATCATTATCCAATAATGATACATGTTTTCAATTGCAACTCATCGCATGAATTTTCCTTCTTTCACATTTGATGAACTTGCAAAGGACAGAATCACTAGTGAACAAATATATATTTGATCTGCACCCATTGACTTCATCGAACAATATAAATGATATTTAAATGAATGTCTTATATCAAATGAAACTTTTCAACAATCGTACCTATCTACGATTTGTATTATTTAGTCAATATTAATTGGATTACAATATTTTATTCAAATAATCCTAATACACCAACAAATTTTAAATGTAATCGTATCGTTTTGAAAATCTTTGTTTATATTGGAGTAAACTATGGGATGGACATATAAATTGTTTTAATAATACAATTGACGAAGAATATCGATGTTATAGTGGACAATGTATTGGTAAACCATTAAAACATTTTCTGATTGTTTAGATAATGCAGATGAATTTATTCTTATTCGAAACAACCATCTCTAATCTATGAAGATATAGCAAATTTGAAGAAAAATTTTACAAGTTCATGTTCAAGATTATTATTACAAAAATAAATCCTTGAATAAATGATAATTGTTCGTAAATAAAATTCGTTGAATAATTCATGTAGTAAATACAATCAATGTCTGAACAATGTTTTATATTTCATCGATTCCACTACGATTTGGTAATGTTTATTTTGCATTTGTAAAAAAAACTTATTCAATTGGAATATGTAAATTCAAGTTTTTTCCATATTATAGAAATTCTCTTTTTGATGAATGTCTTCTTTCGATGACAAGTATACCAATTAGTTGGCCTATTGATTATAGACGATGGTCAGTTCGTTTTCTAGAAGAACCGTATGATTATTTACATAAATATATTTCAAGATTTCGATTTCGGTTTTTATCACTGTAAATATTTCATCAAGATTTATCTCAATATCTGATTGTCCTTATGAAGATGATGAAAATCTTGATATTATTTTACCGGATAATGACCAAAGAAATTAAAATAATTGCTCAAAGTCTAGCAAATACATATATATATATATATATATATATTGTTCCCTCGACTGTAAGGAGGGTCATGTCAAAGAGTGATTAAAATCTTTAATGAATTATTTAATAGATAGAAAACGATACTCTTAATCGTTACAAATAACAACATATTCGATTTCATAGCTAAAATTATCATGAAAGTAATACTAGACTGTCCTCTGCAGAAAATGCGGAAATTAATGAAAATTCATAGTGCTCGGCCGAGTCGATCTCGAGCAATTCAATAATTTAACGTCGCTCTCAATAAATGTGGCGTCATCTTGCCAGTGTAAATGTGGTATTTTGAATACTGTATAACCTCACCCGGTTTCCATACCTACATTCATACTCTCATATGACATATTCTCAAAATGAAATTTTGTGCACTGCTACTAAAAAGAGAGGTAAAAATGAGCATTTTCACTATTTTAAAAGGTCGAGTATGTTTATCATACGCAAAGAACGATTCATGCCGTACTTAAACGTTCGAAGATTATTTTGCATCGTCATGCGCTTTATTTTTTGTCTTGTCAAGATTACATAAATTTTTCTCTTCTTTTCCTTTTCTTCTCACCGTAGTGCATGTGTATCGTGTAAAAACGTGTTGCATTTAAAAGGATCAGTGTTGTATTCTACGTAAGATTTACAAATAATGGCAAACTCTTTACGTCGTTTAAATTCTTCATTAAGTGATCAGAATTTTAAGCTATCTTTGGATATTGTTCGCTCTAAATTGATTCCACTTGATCAATCATCGATTGATGCAATCCTTACATACGACAATTCTCAACAACCTACTATCGTTCTTCCTGACGGTCGAACATTTTTCTGGTACCTCGCTATAGGAAGTATGAATAATCCGATCTCATTGTATCTTCGAAATCTCACTCCAATTCTCTCTTATCCGGCAAGGTGTCTTAATCATCGTGTTGTTTTTCGAGGGCCTGGTGGCATGGCTGATTTAGAACCGTGTCATGAAGCAGAATTTGATGGAGTTGTCCATTTGCTTTCGGAAGAACAAATGGATCGTTTGGATAAGATGGAAATGAGCTATCAACGAATCATAGTTCCGATTATCGACTATCAAAATCAAACTCATGCTGTCTATGCATATCAAATGACATTAACCAACGTGCCAGATAATTTGCCAAGTGAACGTTATCTCGATATTATTGTGAAAGGATGTGAACATTATGGTGTTCGCTCAGAATATATCAATCGGCTACGACAGGAGCAACCAGTAGTTCCTCGAAAAGAACCTCACATGTATCAATCTATTACGGATGTACCATCTGATGTATTTTATACACTTGATGAACTTGCAAAACATAACGGAGCTGATCCTAAATATCCATTGAGGATTTGTATTAATGGTAAAATTCTAGAACATATTGGACTACCACCTAGTGATGATCCTGATTATGAAACACAAAAACGTTTCCACGCCATTATCCAGTCACGATTTGTGGGACGTGAAGCTGATTTTGAAATAGCCAAAGGCTTATATGAACCTTTGCACAAGTTACCATTAAGTGAAGAAGATTTATCCGATGAACATCGAGCAATGCTTGAAGATAATTGTTTATCAATGTTGTCTCGAAGTGGTCAAAGCAATATCTACTGGAAACCCGTTGGACGATTGCATCGATCGAACAACAATACAAACTCGTCCTCGTAGCTCCATAAGAAAATGATTTTGTTCCTAAAATGAACCTAAATGAAAAAGCTTCAAAGCGATGTTTCTCATTTAGAGGTAATTTAAGTGCGAATCGTTTCTCTACTTCTTTTTGTTTTTTGGGAAAAACCTCTATTTCATAAAGAAGTATTTGTATGAATTTAGGTTCAGTTTTGATAAGTTTTATATAATCACTCTCATCTTCACAACATTTCAGTGATCTTGAGTTTTCTACCAATATCAATGTGTTGATTTATAAACTACATCAACACAACGTGTTAAGCATTGAAATAACTCAGCGAGACTAAGTTGTCTAGTGACAGGATCAAATGCAAAGAAGAAGAACAAAAATATGTATGCTATACATAATACACGAGTTTTATTTCTTAAAAATTCATTCTCAATTGCTTGTAATACTTTCATCAAAGTATCAAATCCAATTTCTTTCGTTCTATTGCGGCGAATCACATCAATCATAAGTGTCGCACACTCTTTCAGATGAACATTACATTTATGTAAATCAATTTGTGTTTGTATTCGAAGATAATATCTATATAACTATATAGAATCAAAAGACGAGTTGACATTGTTTGGGATTACAAACATAAGAAGAATACTGATATGGACCTAAATCATATCCGAAGAACAAAGCTTGAGAAGTAAGTGAATTTAAAAACTCTGATGTTACACATAATCGTTCATGTATTCTTAAAACTTCGATAACAATACCAGTTGGTTTATTTTTTATCGATAAGAATTCATTGGATAGCATCATATATGTAAAACTCGAAACTTGAATTCGAGTATTCGACTATTGAAGTATTATACCTGAATATTTAACCCTTTCGGAACGGGTGGTACGCCATATATACCACTTGTGATAAATTGATCAAAAATCTTAAACACATAGTTTTTCATCTTCAACGGCAGCCGATGATGAGCTAGTTGCTCAGATGGGTCAGCCTTACATATCTTATGTAACTCCAGAAGGTTCAGAAGAAAGATCGAAATTCAAAGTCGATCGATGTGCACTAGTTTCACATTTCGTAGTTCTATTCTGAAAAAATAATCCCGTCACAAAAGGGTTAAATACTTGAACTTTTCAACTATTCGAGCATTCTTGAGGGTGTGGGTGAGGGTGCGGGGCAGGATGTTGAGGGGGTACCGTGTAAGTAGCGGTAAGTTACGTGGTATTTGAGGGAAAGCAAAGGTGAAAACATTAAACAGAGCTATCTGGCACATTTACATGGAAAGTTGGGTTAGTGTTAAATAGAATAAAAGAAGGTTTTGTGACAGAAACCCTAATGTCCGATGGATAGGGATGCTGCATTTCGCTGTGTTCTTCGTCCATATATACGTATGTGTAGAGAAAAACGTTTCTCTGCTCGCTGTGCCTTTACTGCTTGTAATAGTTGAGTACTTGAATTCAAGTTTCGAGTTTGACACTACTGGTCATTAGATAACACTTCTTTATGTTATCTTTATTTGATAAATTTTATTCTTCATGCTGCATTTATTCTATGATAAACAAGATCATTGATGGATGAGAATATTTCCTATTTCGTAATGTTAAACATTGTGTAGTAGGACGATTGTTGTTATCAGAAGTGTGAAGGATTAAATAAGTATATTTACAAGCTGTGCTCATTTTCATTCTATTTTTATTTATTGTATTATGATTACCGCTTTCTCTCTGTATTATTAGGTACCCTATTTACGATGACGTTACGATATTATTTCGTTCTTCATGTTCTCGCGATCGTACTTTCGTCTTATACATGCCGTTTTTTGCTTTCCTTTTATACCGCTACGCATACACGTTGTAGTAAGAAAACGTTCTTTACTTTTCCACCTAGTATTCTGAGTAGCAGCATGTCATCAAACAAGGAACGCATATTTGTTGTTGGAGCAACTGGAAGTATTGGCATTGGTATTATTCGTGGTCTGATCAAAAAAGAAATTCAAACAACAGCTTACGTACGAAATGAACAAAAAGCAAAAAGTCTCTTCGAAGATGAACTAAAAACTGGTTATCTTACGCTCATTGTTGGAACTTACGAAACAATTGATGTATTCTCAGAAGCAATTCAAAAACATACCCGTCTGTTTCTTCTTGTTACTGCTATCGACAAACCAACATTACAAAGTAAAATCAAAGGAACATTTGGCAAGATTGCTTTTGAAGAAGGTGTTCGTCAAATTGTTAATCTTTCTTCCTTGTTCGTAACTGAAAATGGCAAAAAAGGTATTATTGCATATGCACAGATGATCGCCGAAGAAAAACTCTGGACACTTGCCGAAGAAAATCCTGAAGAACGTTCACTAGTTGTACTTCGTCCTGGAACATTTATGAGCAATCATTTGATGGGTGATGTACATCACATCAAACATTCAAACAAATTTGTTTCGTGTGGATCACCTTCAACACCATTAGTCTGGATTGACACTGACGGTAAGTAAAGTCATCGAAGTAATAGTCAATAGTGTTTTTTTTCTGTTAATAGATATCTCCGACTGTGCTGTAGTTATTCTAACTGAGCCGGTCGAAAAACACGATCGCATTGTCTATGAAATGGGTGCTGAAGTTTTAACCAACGAGGAACGAGCAGCTATATTCAGCAAAGTGCTCGAACGACCTATCGTGTATGAACAACAATCGCTTGAGGATTTTTTCAAAATTCAATCTAAGTTTGGTTTGCCTCACGCTTTCATATATGACCGTGCAACGTATTCTATGGGTGGTATGAGAAAAACTACTACTCCACAATTAGCTTATGTACTCGGTCGACCTTTAGGTACACTGGAAACATGGATAAAAAAGAATGCTCAAGCATTCACATAAATAGAGTTGACAATCGTATATTGCTTGATAATTGTTTTTTTCATTCTCATCAAAATAAATTTTGATCGATAACATGAATATCATCGATAAAATAATGTGTTGTTAATGAATAATTATTAAAGATTGAACTTTCTATAGGTGTATTCTCTATCATTTAAAAATTCAAAGCAGATATCTCGAGTCTTAAAATTATTTTATATCTTCACATAACAATAGTCTATTCTTTCAATATGAGTATGGATAATTGGTTATTCATATAGTTAATATGAATCCTTTATACGGATAAATGTACGAAAAACGTTTGTTTACCAATAATAGAAGCTACAGAAGTTTGCTTTGTTTCTGCCAAAAGCTATTGAAAAATTCACTCATTTCCTTTTGAAATCGATAGTATAGTCATTTTTGAATTTCCAAGATGGTTTAAAAGAACTGGAATATTTCAAAGCCATTTAAATGAGAAATCATTGTTCGTGAAAAAAATATCTTTGATTCAGATATAGTTTTATGAAAAAGAAGTCCATTTGAACTATATTTTACAATGTATAGATCATGTTCATTCTATCAGTTGCTCTCACAATCTCCTATGAGTGATGAATGATTGAGAAGAGTGATCAAGTATAGATTGATCCGATTTGTTCTGTCCACTTACTTAACTGTTTTTTTTATTATGATTTTGCATTCTTTTAAGTTTATGTTTTATCAAATTTATTCACACGACTATATTTTTTATTTTTCTTCGTTGGAAACCTTGAGAAACACGGGACTTTAGAATCAAGTCTAAATATCTTTCATAAGTTACCTTAGTTTAATATTTCTTATTGAAAGGAGCATTTTTGATTCTCAAGGATGAATCAGAAAACAACACGATTTTGTTTCTTATTAACATTTGTCATATCTGTTGCCGTTCGCTATCAATTGCTTCTGTAAACAATTCCAAATGAGTTTCTAATATTTTGATTTGCGTATGTCATTTGAAAAGGAAGCTTTCAGTTCGATAATCTTGAGGGTGAGGTACTTTACTAAATTATTCAATTTAGTATTTTTCATCTTTATTGAGAATTACATCCCATTTTTCTCTTGTCTTGTCTTTAATATTGTAGAAAAATGAGTTTTAATACAGATCACTGAAGAATTTCAGCATAAGTGTTTGACGAACATCATCTGATGGTTCGAATGAATATTCTCTTCGGTTAGAATAAAGGATTGGAATAAAGAATAATTATTAAATGTGGTGTGATAATAATAACGTACACCATTCAAGAAGTAATGAAAGAAATGTTTGTACTATATGAGTAGTGACATGTGCTTCTTTTTCTTTCTTTTCATCATGACTACATACTTCAGCAATTTTGTCTAAATGTTTTTTTTTCGCAGGCACACAGGTGTTTGTTATTCGTTGTATTCATGACAGTATTCAGAAAGCACACCACGTGAGCAGAGAAAGGTAATGACTACTGATCAAACTAAAATTATTATTGTTACCGCAAATCAAAGCTTAATTGAACAAATTTGCTCTAACAACATCGCAAATACACAAGTTCTCGATGTGACAAATAACGAACAAAATTGTTCGGCAATCAACGGTGATAATATCATTAGCAATTTGGCTTTTCTTGCTCAACTATCTGATGGTGTTCGTATATAATTTTAATCCGACAGTCAATGAAATGGTAATTCTAGTTTTTTTTCAGAGTTCAAAGAATGAAAGGATTTATAAACGTGCACTTGATTCAACTGATCGTAGTGGAGAAAAACCAGCGAAAGTTTCGAAGAAGCCAATGATTTGTGCTATATGTGGTGGTCGTGCTATTGGTTACAACTATAACGTATCATCGTGTTCGTCATGCAAAGCCTTTTTCCGTCGCCATGTTAATCAAAGTTTGGTTAGTTTGCTGTTTTTTCAATTTACCATCGCTAAGAATCTGTTGATAGGACGAAATGCAATGTTTATTAGGTCAGAATCAATGTTCATTATCTCACGAAACACGACGACGAAAATGTCAAAAATGTCGACTGCATCGTTGTTTTGAAGCGGGAATGAAGAAAGAGTTTATGTTTAGTGAAGAAGAGAAGGAACGACGGAGAAAACATTGTGAAGAGAAAAGAAATGCATCACTGATCTCCAATGTCGAATCTGTTCCAGAAGTATTGTTGTGAAACAAACAATGAGAATGTGAAACTATATTATTTATTTTATTCTTCTTAGATCAGTTTGAATGGAAATGAACAATTCGTTGAGACCGAAAACGATATTAATTGGAATGGAATAGAAGATATTTCGTGGGAAATCTTATCCATCGAAGATTGGCTTATTGTTGAAAGTGTCCGCCGTTCATTCTTAACAACTTTTGAAACCGAAGATATTCCATCGCTTAACTTTGATGTAGCAGATACTAGTTCTGCTCTTATGGAACTATCTCAATTCTCCCATTCAATCACTCTACGTTTCATTAGTTTCATTCGCGAAATTAACGAATTTCACAATCTTCATATTGATGATCGTTTCAGTTTGGTTAAATATAACATTCATCTATTGTCTATGATATGGAAATGTTTTTATTACAAACCAATTGACACTCGTTGTTCGAATGAACACTTTATCAAACTTCGACGATTTTTCGCGTTATGCGGTGTGTCAGAAGATATTCAACGTACCTTGAATAATTTAGTACTATCACTTGTCGAATTAACTAAACAAGATTCAGCAACATTATCTCTTCTAACGATGATACTAATATTTTCACATGGTATCTCTATGAATGACGATGAATCACCATTAAAAGATTCAGCAGCAGTTTACCGAGCACAACTTCACTATACAGATTTATTTGAGAAGCATTTAAATAGCAAATACGACGAGCTACAGGTTATTCAACAGCTTACCCTATTGCTAACCTTGATCTTACGAATGCAGTCAATATGTAAACAATTACGAGAGCTTTATCAGGCTCAATATCTATCCTATAACCTTGTCGACAAAGTGATACCATTGTTGCAGACTACTCTAGACATCTCTTCAACATAATACATTCATTCGGTAAACTAAAAACGGAAATTTTACCTTGATAAAGAGTGAGAATTGGATGTGAAGCTTCATCTGGACTCACATGATCAGAATGCTTTCTTTTCGTAGATTATATCATTATATAATATAAAGATAAGATCCGTCTTTTTTGTACAACATCCAAAAAAGAAAAATATCATTTGATACCTTCTGTAAAAACTTGCGTTATACATGATCATATTTTCACCATAAACAGATTGGAAAAAGATGGATAGATGACAGTTTTATAACCTTTAGAAAAAATAAAGAAAAAATCTATCTTGAGGGTGAGGTTGTGAATTGCAAAGATATGCACGTCAACATCGATACTCATGCTCACATCTAATACAATCCGATGTTGATGGATAGAGTAAAAATATTCACATTTTCACCTTCAAGATGGATTAGAAACCATTTTATCCAGATTACTATTGAAGCATATCTAAGACTACACTCTTACATCTTTCATCGTACAAGTGATCGCCTTCATTTGTTTTTTGTTGTAATTACACAGTTTTTTTACATTTAATTTCGTTGTCACTCTTTTTAAGATTAAAAAAATTGCTAAGAAAATGTATATCTGATATTTCGCGCCAATATTTCGAAGGTGTGGGTGGGAAGATGACACTTACACTTTCAAAATTAAAGGATAAGTGCTATTTCCTCCGTTATTTCTTTATTCTTTATTCCCCGAAAATCTTGAGAGTATCGATGCCTATTTATGATCTCATTCTCTATAAAGCACTGCGAATTGTGTATTACAGAGAGATTTCTTCTTGAAAAATTTTTGTCCTTTTCTTATCTTAGCATCCATTTGTAAAGAAAAAAAGAAAATTTTCGCTTACACAGAAACAAACCGTTAGAAATGAAGAAAAAAATGCCAACAGGTTAAGTGTTTTTATTCTCTGAAATACAAGAGTTATTTATTTGCAGCGTTTCGTAAAATAAATCTCTATCTTTAAAAACAAGATGAAATCTATAATAGCCAATAGTTCCATCGATGATGACACAAGTAAGATACATCTCAATTCTCTTGTAGTAGAACCTTCGACAATACAGCTAAAGGACACTCGCACAATACATATGGACATAAATTTCCTGATCTGGTTGAACTTGCATTATGACGAATCAAGCGACGACTATCAAAACTCGATTGTCTCTCTTCGGCATGCTAATAAAACCGTCAAGATATTTAAAAATGCCGATCAATGTATTGATTTTCTCACAGACATGAAAACTGAGAAAGTATTTCTGATTGTACCAAATTCTATCAATGAAATCTTAGTACCACTTATTCACGAAGTGTCTCAACTCAATTCGATATATATCTTGTGCACTAATCCACAGTATACACAATCGATCAAATCTTGGTCAAAAGTACGGGGTATTTTCACAAAAATTGATACAATTTGTCAGTTAGTTAAACAAGATGTAAATCGCATCGATCATGACTCCATTTCCTTCAGTTTTATATCATCAAATGATGTAGCAAATCAAAATTTAAATGAACTGGATGTGTCTTTTATGTACACACAAATATTGAAAGAAATTCTCCTTGAAATTGAATATAATGATCAATCTTTTAGAGAACTGATCGACTACCTTCGTGAATTGTTTGATGAAAATGATCCAGAAATGCAACTTATTGCTAAGTTTGAAAAAGATTATTACTCTCAAACACCCATTTGGTGGTACACATACCCATGTTTCATTTACTCTATATTGAATCAAGCACTACGCACCCACGAAACGCATACAATTATCAAGATGGGCATTTTTATTCGAGATCTCCATCGACAAATTGAGCAACTTCATTTGGATCAATCAGCTGATGAACAGATGCAATCATTCATTGTTTATCGAAGTCAAGGTTTATCGAAATCTGATTTTGATAAAATGATGAAAACAAAAGGTGGACTTATGTCGTTTAATAGTTTTTTGTCAACAAGTAAAGAACGAGATGTTGCTCTCGTTATGGCTGACAGTAATGGACTTAATGAACATTCAATTGGAATCCTTTTTGAAATAACTGTTCATCGATCAATTTCATCATCTCCTTTTGCCAGTCTTGATAATATCAGTTACTTTAATCAGCTAGAACAGGAAATTCTCTTTTCAATGCATACTGTTTTTCGTATCGTTGAAATCGAACAAATGGATGATACAAATCATATCTGGCAAGTGAAATTAACATTAACTGATGACACTGATCAGCTGCTTACTTGTCTTACCGAATATATGCGATACGAAACTCGAGGATCGACAGGAAGAGATCGATTGGGACACTTATTACTTAAATTAGACGAGTATGACGCAGCTGAAGCCGTGTATCGAGTTTTACTAGATCAACCGTTGGATGATGGAGAGAGAGCACATTTCTATTTTATGTTAGGACACATAAAAAATGATCAAAAAAATCCTAAAGAGGCGCTTTCTCTGTGTGAAAAGTCTCTGGAAATATATGAGCAAATTCGCTCTCCAAATCATCTTGATATTGCCAGCTGCTATCACCTCATTGGACGCTGCTACAAACTTATGCACGATTACAAAAATGCGATTTTATTTTTGGAAAAAGCTCATGAAATTGCCAAAATAAAATTTCCTCCATATGATCATGGTTTACTCAACTCCTTTATATCCATGGGTTCTCTGTATGAAAGCATGAATAATGAGACTAAAGCACTTTGGTTTTACGAGGAAGCACTTAAAATTGGGAAAAATAATTTTCCTCCTAACCATCCTTCGATTGCTGTTATTTATAACAATATCGCTCATGTATACTCAAAGCTACACGAGAACTCGAAAGCAATTTTGTTTACTCAAAAAGCTTTCGAAATTAAACAGAAAAGTCTTCTTTCTAATGATTCATCCTTTTCCAAGCTATACGGTCGACTTGGTACAATATATCAGGAAACTGGTCATTACTCGAAAGCACTTTATTTTTACGATCAAGAACGCCAACAAGAACAAAAAACTCCACGTGTAAATCACTATCATTTATATGCTATTAATTTCTGCATTGGAACAGTATATTATCAAATGTGTGAATACTCGAAAGCAATTTCAACTTACGAAATAGCTATAGAACACTACAAAAAATTGAATCAATCGGATGATGAAGACTTAGCTAATATCTTTATGGCAATTGGCACTACATATAATGATATGGGCGAACACGCGAGCGCAATAATATTTTATGAAAAAGTCCTTAAAATACAACAGCAATACCTTCCACCAAACCATTCAAAGTTAGGTAATATGTATAATAAGATTGGTTTGATATATTGCCACAAAGAAAAGTATACCACGGCACTTTCATATCTTGAAAAATTTCTTGATATACAACAGCAAACATATCCTTTGAATCATTCAGAATTATCTGCTGCTTATAACAATATTAGTGGAATATACTGTAAAATGGGAGACTTTTCTAAAGCACTTTTTTTTATTGAGAAAGCGTTAGAAACTAGTGAATATTACTCTTCTTCTAATGATGAAAATTTTCCTATTCTCTACAATACTCTTGGCTCCATCTATTCCAATATGTATGATTATCCGAAAGCACTTTCATATTATGAACTTGCTCTTGATATTGCAAAAAATATATTACCATTAGATCATCATCATGTTCAACTGCTTCAAAAAAATATTAAATTATTGAAAAAGAAAATGTTATTATAAATCATTTATATCAACCATCCGACTATAGTTATATAAAACCGTTCTAACTTCTTTGTTTTATCTAAATTAATAAAGCTTTTTTATTATTTATTGTTTTAATGAAACTTTCACTCATTCCAAAGAACGAGTGGTCCTGTTGAGATACATTTCTAGTGAAATTTTCAGTTCAACAAACTAGACTACTTCGATGTTTCATCTATAAATTATGAGTTTTATTTGTGATCAGTATAATTCTGTCTGAAAATGAGTTGCGGATTCCCAAATGGTGCGAGTAAGAATGTACAGGGTGGTCTATAATTAACGCAGCCACACCATACAAATTGTATATCACTGTTACGACTCGAGGAAAGGAGCTCATTTTTTACCAATGATAGAAACATGTGTAAAGCATATAATCATAAGGACATGTTTTCACAAATTCTCTATTCAGTGATTCCAATGACTTTAAGAAAAATATTTTGCCTTTTCATATATAAAAAAAAAGTAATGTAATATAGAGAAAAAACGCATGGCCATACCTATATTCTTCTTTCATATCTTTCGACTTCTATTTATAAATCATTTCTTCTTTACTGTTACACGACTATTGTACGTTTCTGTTTCACATTTTCTATTGTATAAAAATTTTTTTTTTCTTGAAGTCAATAGACTTACTTAACAGAGGATCTTCTGAGGCTTGTCTTTATGATTTTAAAACTTACACATACCTTTATCATTGGTAAAAAAATCAGCTCCTTTCCTCAAGTCGTAATGGAGATATTCAATCTACATGGTTTGATTGCGTCAATTATGGATCATTCTGTAATTTTATGGATTGTTAAGATGAGAATAATACATAGATAAACAGAACGAAAAATATGGCGTTGAGCTAATGTTCGAAATGATGATACTGTATATAAATTGATAAATATTAGCAAGATTAAAGAAAAATTTTTATGTGTATTAATTCTGAATTATGTCCATTTATACGACAATGTTATTGGATATATTAACAAACATCAATTATCACAAAAATAAAAGAATATATCTGATAATAACAACAAAGATCCGATACCTACTCAGTGTTTCTCTTCAAGTTGAAGGTAAGACAATGAGACTCATTTTCATCCTTTGGTATGAAATAAATTCTTCAAAGATTGTAATTGCCTTCTGTTTCGTCATAATATATATCTGATCTTTGATATGAATTAAAAAAGATACTTTTTTTGCATGGAAATTGTTATATTGATAGCTTAAACACTATCATCGACCTGAAATGTATAAAAATAGGTACAAGATATGTATCTGCGAAGGTAAGAGTGTGATTTCATCATAACATATTGGAATCGAGTGGAACAGGATGTTTTCTCGTTACAAACTTTATTGATGTGATAATAATATAAAAATAGGAAAAAAAAGACTAAAAACTTATTGGAAAAATTTTGTTAAGAAGTGTTCTTGACTCAAATGGGTGATTGTAAACAAAAATTGTCAAACTGTACGTAGTCCCAAGATGATCCAATCGCACCCCATCCAGAATAGCTAGATGCAGTCAGCTCACATCGACCAACTGGATTACCATTAACATATCCTACTGAATAATCTTGTAAAACAACAAGTGTCAATTTATACCAAGTGCCAGCTACAATGGAAACAATTCCAGAAGTAACTGGATTTGTAAGCTGTGTACTATTAGTTATTTGCCAAGATCCATTATTAGTTGTATTGACACTGAATACAATGCCAGAGCTTCCATTACCACAACCTCCTTCTGATACTCCTAAAGCAACGAATGCAATTCCATTTTTCTCAATCAAAACATCCACGCTGATATTCAAAGGTTGTTTCCAAGTATAATTACCAATAATAGAATATGGATAGTCTGCGTCGTCGCACCAGCTAATAGGTCTTTCAGGCACCATTTGTCTCATAGTTTTACCACGGGTACTTGCTGTATCTATGATTTCCCATGAACCTGTCTGGTCAGAAAAATATGGTGCTTCACTGTATACTTGATGGTCGTCAAAATTATCCGCATATGGCAAGGGAAATGGTTGGGACGGTGGAGCGTCGTAAGCACCTTTTGTACCATTAATTGTTGAAACAGTATAAAGTACACCAACTGATAATTGAAGTGTAAATGTTCCATTATCCAAAGTAATGATTCCTTTGTAGGTGAAGGCTTGATCTACATCTAATATGTTGAGATCCGTGAAGAAAACATATAGTTGAGTAATATGACCAAAAGAAGTGTCGAGTTGAAAAGTTGCTGTTTGATTAGTTGTACTATAGTATACCGTACTGGAATGTGCACATTGTGAACTATTACGATCCATTGTTTCAACAATGATAGTCAATTGTTCACCAGTTGGATCGGTTAAAGATACATAACTACCACCATTATCAAGCAATCCAACACCTGATCCATGTTTTAAAAACGACCATCCCACTTTTGTAAACTGTCCCCAATGTGCTGATACCCATAGAAGTCGTCCAATTCGATAGTGTCCTGACCATGGTTCATTAGCACGTAGTATTCCAACACCACTGTATGGTAATCCATCATAGAATGAGGCAATCAAATCCCAGGCAATAGTTGCAGTTAAGTTCGCACGAACATAATTCTGATTCAATGATCTTGCCCAACATAGAGAACCGGTATCATAATCAAGTGACATATCTTCACTTGACCACTGAACCTTGTTGAGAGCAGCACATTCTTCTGCTATAGCCGAACCAACATAATGTGCACCAATAACATCAACAGCAGCTGCCCATTCAGGATCTTTGACTAAAGTTGTACAAACATCCCATTTTGAATCATGACCAACGACCTTCGTTTTAAGTCCCGCTGCAGTAATTGCTGCCTTGAGTGCCAATGTATATCCTTTGTCCCATGCACATTCATTCCAAATTCCTATGTAATCAATATCGAGATTATAATATTTCTTAGCACCTAATAGCCAATTCATAGTATATCTTAGAGTACTATTGGTCCAAGGTAATTTCTTTCCTTCACCAACCCAACCGGGAAATCCCCAACTAAGCCCATAAAGAGTAATATTGGGATTTCTTCGTTTTGCTTCCACCATGGTATTCCATTCATAACCTCGCTGATAGTTTTCATCATCAGCTGTATGCATGTGAGAAGGTTCTGTTCCATCAGTTGATTGCACGTCACCACCAATCTCAACTTTAAGTATATGTAACGAAGCACCAAAACCTGGTAAAAATAGGTAATCCATTATTTGATTATACCATTTGCTTTTATAATCTGCAAGTAAACGTGTAACACAACCACCACCACTCAAGCCACCAATACCGTCGAAGCGTCTACCTAATCCCGTTGCTTTGCTCACTGTATATGTGAAAGATGCATCCGAAATTGAAAAAACTATTGTCAATACACTAACCACAAATACAGTTTTGACCAGTATCATTATCGTCATTAATTTCTGCGAAAATGTTCACTAAAATATACATAAAAACTTATTAACTTTAAATGGTTTCCTTTTTAACTTGCAGTAAAATCTCGTAATTACATCTCTACTTTTCTATCATTCTTCTACATCAAGTCCTACTTGCAAAACTTTTGTTACTTCTTACCTGTAATATCAAATGTGAATACTTTATATAATGAATGAATTGTTTAAATAGATAACACGAAAAATATGAGTTGAAGGACAATATTGAGATAAATGTTGCATTATTGATAAAAAGGCTAAGTACAACACACAAAGTGTTGTGGGTACCTTTCTCCACACTTCAAAAACGAAATGTAAAAATATAATAATGATAAACTATTATCGTAATTTAATTTTAGTCACATACAGTTTGTGACTTTGATTCAAATTGTACAGAAATAAATTTATGTTGTGCAATTTTTCTTTTCTCCTCATTTTTGTCGATTTATTAAATATAATCGATAATTATATTGATCTTATATGATGAAAAGTTCAAAAGAAAAAATGTTCATATTCTCATGATTCCTATCACGTCTTCTTTTTTATTTTAATAACAATGCAATCAATCAACATTTTTTAAAACAATTCAAACTAAAGTTCAATGGAAAACAAAAGCTATCAGATAGACAAAGAATTATCGATTTTGTTGTCGATATCGATCGTTTTGATGAAGTTGATAATGATAATGTATTTGAAAATCAATTCTGTTGAGAGTAATAAACACTGTCATTGATAAACTGAATTTAGAAAAAAAAAGATTATTTTCTGCGTTTTATCTTTATCTCGAAACAAATGTATCTTTCCTTTCCATATAAATCTATTTAAAATAAATCTTCTCTATTAACATAATAACTAACACATGTTATATTCTACTTTAACTGTGTTTTTATTTGTCTTGAGCAGATTGAACGAATTCCAATTAAGACTGTGTAAACGAATAAAATTTTCAAATTTGATCTTACTATGTAACTATATCCTTTATATAAAGAGATATTATCGACTACAACTAAAAGATTTACTGATTTTACTTTTGTATAAATAAGAATAAACCAAATGAGTGCAGATATGACAATCTTGGAGTAGAACTTCTTTAGGATTCGAAACCATTTCAGTAGTTTGTTTTATACTTCTTCTGGATAGAAAATAATTTCTTATGATAATCTGAATCACACAAAATGACAATGATTTTGAAGGAATTATTTTCCAAAGATATACGGGTACTATCATTGACTAATAATTAAACTTTTCTTTACAGTATCGTTAACAGTATTCTATTGGAAAAAAAATGCAAATTCTCTCGACTGAAAAATCAGTCGTTTTATTTCCTGTTCTTCTCATTATAATATCTGAAGGTTTTTGTTTTTTTCAATTAACTTATTTCAACAGATATATCTTCAGACAACTATTCAAAGTAAAAGAAAATACTTATTTCTATTTTTGAATAATTGTCTGTATATAATTCGCAAAAAAAGATGCAACTCAATTATTTTATAAACAATTGTAAGAGTCACACAATTTTATAAGAAAATTTCATCATTTTTTAGATCCAAAACTTTTCCAATTGATATTCTTATTTTGAATTATTTGTTATGAGTACAAACTATCCCGTTTCACTTTCGCTAGCTCGATCAAAATTCGCTCTTTATATTTCCATTCCCATTCATCTTCTTGCTCTTATTAGTGAATTATCAAGTGTAATTATTTTTCTCAGTTTACAAACATTTCGATCAACTTCCTGTGCATTTTATTTAATGTTTATGGCATTATTTAATTCAATTCGATTCATTTTTAGTTCGCCATTTCTTACAATATCAATGGCATTTCCAATCAATTTTACTTCGGTTCTTTTATTTTATTGTTAATTGAGAAATTATATTGTTGCAACATGTAATTTTTCTGCGTTAACATGTTTATGTTTAGCTACTATTGATCAATATTTTGCAACAAATTCTCGTCATCGATGGCAACAATGGTCAAATATTCGAATTGCTCATCGTGCCGTGATAATTATAACAATAATTTGGATGATTCATGCAATATCTTTTTTCCTCTATTTTAATCGATTTTCCCTGTCAATCCAGCGCTTTGTATTTCATCTAATTCAATTTTATACGAATATAATGTTTATGTATATTATTTAACCTATGGAAATTTTTTTCCATTAATTGCAATTAAATTTGGTATATTAGCTTTTCGAAATGCACGAAGTTTAACTACTCGAACCAATCCACTTATTCGACGTGAATTATATAAACAATTAACTAAAATGGTTCTTCCCAGGTCAACAAATCTTATGCTGGATCCGACCATCCGACAAAATCCGATCGGATTCCTGGAAACGGAATTGCATTGGAATCCGACTAGAAAAATCCTGTCGGTTGTTGCAAATTTTATGAGCGATCTTTTTAGCTATGTTCTAAGATGACCCTTATAAAATGCAGGAAATCCATGTTTCGGATCCGACATGGGATCCGATCGGATCCGAGACTGTCGGAATCCAATGCGATTCCGTCACCCGCATTTCATCGGATCCGTCGAATTCCTGTAGNATATGAGTCACCAATTGTAGATAATGTTCTACTTCATCGATATGTGTTGGAATTTTTCTTTAATATTATTTCATTAATGAGAAAAGTTAATTTTAATTATTCCTAGTCAAATACAAGGATTCATCCCATTGCCCCACTTTACTCTAGATACAAGTTGTGAATAAATGTCAAATGAATAAGAATGGTCTTATAAAATTTTTCAGACAATTTCTAAGAACAATATAATGTTTGATGTAGAATATTTAGAAAAAATCAAAGTCTCTTGAAGATTCATATTATTACTAAAAATTTGTCGTCATTTATAGATAAGGTTTCCTTTTTTATTTTTCGACGAAAAATCTTTAGTATTTTCTTATCATATAACGACAATATATTTCTTCTTCTTCTTGGAAATTAATTGGTTTCAAAATATGTTAACATAAAACTTTCCAGTTCTCACTGAAATAATTTCATAAGGTAACTTTGACAAGAAATTGCATTAGTCACTTCATACTCGCTTAGAATGATTTGATATACACCATGGAACATGTGGACTTTTTTCTCGTTTTTCATGAACATGAAAAATGTGAAAAGTTAGAAAGTGTTAGTCATCGTAATTTATTCATAAGATTTAAATATGATGACTATGAATCGATTATGTTTTGATCGCTATGAAGTTGTAAGCAAATGTTTAAGAACTCTGCTCGAATATGTTGACGGATGTGAGTATAAACGAGTTTTATCAAACAAATTTACATTTGCAGTTACTTACGAAAGAATGATTTACCTAGTTCATTCTATGTGGATAATGAGGTAAAAAATTGTCATGATTAATTACCTTCGTTTTTCTTCTTTCCGTTTTTCAGCGATATAAAGAGTATAGTATCAATAGGTCAAAACGATTATTCAATGTTAGGAAGGACAAGAATAGACTTAGATAAAAAGACTTCACTTAATGCATTTTCGAAACAATATCAAACTTTTTTTTATAATCATCATCCTGTTGTTGCTGGATTCTCCGTATTAACTGGAATAATTCGATTTTCTCGTCCACATTTACTGATAAACAGGTCATACAAAACATATTTTGCTTGTCGACGAAATCTTTTTGAAACACAAACATAGGTATAAAATGAATTCTAAAGAAAAAAATGAGTTGAATTTTATGAGAAACTAAATAGTTAAATCTTACTCCATTGCTTAGAAAACTCAATGTTAACGCAATTGCATTAGCTAAACTTAATTTAGCAAGAAAAATTGGTTCCTTATTTGTATTTAATGATGATATTGAATTGACTATTGAAAATGGTGTATAAGTACAAACATAAACACATATTTCGACAAGAACCATTGTAGTCAGTTGTTTATCTAATTCTTGTCGAATAATTGGATTTGTTCGCGTTAATAAAGTTCGAGCATTTCGATAAGCTAACAAACCAAATACTACAGCTATTAATGGAAAAAGATTTCCATATGTTATAAAATATAAATAAACATTATATTGAAGAAATATAAAATTTGATGCAATACAGATCGATGGATTTATTGGTGATAATTGATTGAAATTGATAAGAAAAAGTATTGCATGACAACACCAAATTAATGTGATTGTTATTATCACACGATGTGCAATGCGAATATTGGAATATCGATGCCATTGCGGACGAGTACATGTAGCAAAATATTGATCAATGACTGATAAACATAAGCATGTTAAAGCTGATAGATTACATGTGGACACAAGAAAAGTTCTCATTTGACAATATAAAAATGAAATCGATGTAAAATTCACTGAGAATGCCATAGAGACAGCAATAAAGGATGTACTAAATATCATTCGAATGAGATTAAATAATGCCATAAACATTAAATAAAATGAACAAGAATTTTGACGAAAAGTTTTCAAACTTAGAAAAATTGAAACACTTAATAATTCACTAAGAATACAAATAATACAAATTGGAATTGAAACATAAAGAGCAAATTTTGATCGCGTAGAAGTAAGAAAAGCGATGTAATCTATATCCATAGTGAAGATCTCGCAAAGACAAGAAGAACAACGATCTTTTTTTGCTTTATTTCCAAGTTCAATGGCGTTAATCCTTTTTTGTGTTTGAAGATGCACGAAGGGTAAAGATATTATATTTTATCTTTGTAATTAGTAGAAAATAATTTGAATGCTATAAATAAAGTTTATTCGTTTGTTATCTATTACACGGAAAGACATTCTTTTTTCTCAGTGCCAAAAGCAAATAACAGATTTATACAAGTGAATTAGAAATCTTTAATTAATAGAAAACGGAAGAAATGGCTTTTATTTCAAACTGAATGAAGATAATTTGTGCGTATTAATGAATTATCAGTATTACGTGATGAAAATCAGAATAAGATCTTTTGTCACAGGAGGAAACACAAGAATAGGTTGCTTCCATTTTCAAAACTCTGATAGAAGAGTCAATCGAATAAAGAAGCAAAGTTGTTCGCATACAGTAGAAAACCAGTTGTTGAAACACGATTTGTGTAATTGGAAACAAAAAGAATATATTTTTGAGTATGATGGGTGAGTTTTATAGAGAAGCTGATTCAAAGCTTCATACAACGGCGCTTTCAACAGTGCGAGCTGATAGATAAGAAAATAATGCATAGCGATCATACGAGATGTTTCGACAGATACTTCCAGAGACGGGGTTTCAAATTCGATTAAACGTACTTAGGACATACCAAGAGTAGTGGCAGTGACACTTTTTACTACATGTTGGTCTTCTAAAAGTTGCTTTTCTATACAGTCTGATAGAGAAAAAGAAGCTCTATCTTTCAATGTTATTTGATTATACTTCAGATAACATCATGATATTAAAGTATCTATAAGGCTTATTCTGGTCGGCTATATGCTGGTTATATTAATATCGATAAGTATTTTTTGAATAACTTTTGATGGAAACTAGATAGAGAGCCACGGTTTTTCCTATATTAGAAAGATTAAGCGAGGACACACCGAACCGTAGGTTACAGCTTTTCCTAATTCGATTTCTTGAGGACTAGATTCAGTTTTCTGACTAGTGAAGACGCAGCTCTTTTATAAAAAATACAGAAACAACACTGTGTTTTCTTCATCAGTTTTACTGGAAAATCATAGTATGTGCTCGATTAAAAAGTATATTATAGATCTGTAACTTTCATATTTCGTGGATCTCCGATTAATGATCTAAATTTTATCGTGCTTAGCAATTGAAAACTCATTGTCTACTATTTACTAGACATGGCCGTCTGCAAACCATGAATCGTAAATTTCGCAAAAAAAAACTCAGAAAAGCTCAAAATATATAATTCAATGCGCCTTTATTTTAACGCTCCAATATTGAAAACCGCAGATCTCTATCAGACTGTATAGAAAAGCAACTTTTAGAAGACCACCATGTAGTATAAAAATGCCACTGCCACTACTTTTGGTATGCCCTAAGTATATACAAATCGGAGATGATCTGAGAAAAAAAATAGAAAAAGAAGAAAACAAAGAAGAAATACAATCGCAGAGATCATCATGAGAACGGACATGATAGCCAAACGAAAACTAAAAACGACAGGAAAGAAAGAGTAAAACAAACACATATGTATATGTATAGAAACGGAAGAAAACAACTATGTAGAAGGTAGCGTTATCGAATGTCGCAATTGTCTATGGTTGTGAAAGATGGAATTCCGAAATCGGTTGGAATCGATTCCGGATGCGGAACTGGTTCCCAAATGTTCAACATTGAGGAATAGGATGTATTCTCCGTCAAAGTCAGCGTCGTGTTTTACAAATGACAACAACAATATCAAACCTTCACTCATCAACTGTTAATGAATCTCAAAATCAATCGAGAAAAGCCGATCGCAGTTTACTTCGAATGACTCTAGTTCAAGTTTGTCTTCTTCGAAGTTTGACTGTTCCTCAAGCAACTCAAAGATTATATACAGTTTTTGCTGATTCATCTTATGCCCAATTACAAGCAACAATCGATATGTTTATTTATAATATTGGTCTTTTATTAACCTATTTAGCAAGTGCAATTCAATTTTTATATTTTTACATTAACTGGAGGAAGCCTTTTAGACAAGCTTTATTTGATCGAATTAAATCGATTTTCAATATTATAGAAACTTATGTCGCAAATGATTCAACAGATTTCTTGATGTGAATCGTCGAAAGCTTGACTATTGAAACTATTCATCCAGTTTAAAAAGACGAAAGCTTTCCAAATATGCTTGTCTAATCCAATTCAATCCAATTTCAATAAAGTTTTCCGAGTGTGATGTATCGCATTAGAACAATTACATTTTGACAAGTGTAATTCGTGTGAATCACATTCTCCGTTTACACCTTGATAAACATTAAAATATATGATTAAGCACGGGCAAATGCATAACTAAAAAACAACTCTCTTGCTGATTAAAAGAACTTTCTATTGCATGGAGAGATTTCATAAACGGTCAGAATTTGTTGATGATTCATAGTAAAACAATATCGCAAAATGTTTTAATCCTGTTCTTACGATCAATGTTCACTCTGATTAAGTTTCACTTATCTTTGCTTGTACATTTAGTTTTTCGGTACATCCAACTTAACCTTGAGAAGAAAAATCCAACGAAATCCTTTAATCACCGAATAAATATAGAATAATACCAAATTATTCATATGAATTTGCTNTAAATGAGTATTATCAAAGAAATTTACATTTTCAGTTAATTACGACAGAATGATTTACCTAGTTAATTCTATGTGGATAATGAAGTAAAAAGTTGTCATGTTTAATTACCTTCTTTTTTTCTTCTTTCCGTTTTTCAGCGATATAAAGAATATAATATCAATAAGTCAAAACGATTATTCAATGTTAGGAAGGAGAAAATTAGACTTAGATAAAAAGACTTCACTTAATGCATTTTTGAAACAATATCAAAAGTTTTTTTTTATAATCATCATTCTGTTGCTGCTGGATTCTCCGTATTAACTGGAATAATTTGGTTTTCTCGTCCACATTTATTGATAAACAGGTCATATAAAACATATTTTGCTTGTCGACGAAATCGTTTTGAAACACACACATAAGTATAAAATGAATTCTAAAGAAAAGATGAGTTGAATTTTATGAGAAAATAAATAATTAAATCTTACTCCATTGCTTAGAAAACTCAATGTTAATGCAATTGCATTAGCTAAACTTAATTTAGCAAGGAAAACTGGTTCCTTATTTGTATTTAATGATGATATTGAATTGACTATTGAAAATGGTGTATAAGTACAAACATAAACACATATTTCTACCAGAACCATTGTTGTCAGTTGTTTATCTAATTCTTGTCGAATAATTGGATTTGTTCGTACTAGTAAAGTTCGAGCATTTCGATAAGCTAATAAACCAAATATTACAGCTATTAATGGAAAAAGATTTCCATATGTTATAAAATATAAATAAACATTATATTGAAGAAATATAAAATTTGATGAAATACAGATCGATGGATTTATTGGTGATAATTGATTGAAATTAATAAGAAAAAGTATTGCATGACAACACCAAATTAATGTGATTGTTATTATCACACGATGTGCAATTCGAATATTGGAATATCTATGCCATTGCGGACGAGTACATGTAGCAAAATACTGATCAATGACTGATAAACATAAGCATGTTACAGCTGATAAATTACATGTAGACACAAGAAAAGTTCTTATTTGACAATATAAAAATGAAATCGATGTAAAATTCATTGAAAATGCCATAGAGACAGCAATAAATGATGTACTAAATATCATTCGAATAAGATTAAATAATGCCATAAACATTAAATAAAATGAACAAGAATTTTGACGAAAAGTTTTTAAACTTAGAAAAATTGAAACACTTAATAATTCGCTAAGAATACAAATAATACAAATTGGAATTGAAACATAAAGAGCAAATTTTGATCGCGTAGAAGTAAGAAAAGCGATGTAATCCATATCCATAGTCAAGATCTCGTAAAGATAAGAAGAACAACGATCTTTTTTTGCTTTATTTCTAATTTCAATGGCGTTAATCCTTTTTTTTGTGTTTGAAGATGCACGAAGGGTAACGATATTATGTTTTATCTTTGTAATTAGTAGAGAATAATTTATAGAATAAATTGAATGCTATAAATTAAGTCTATTCGTTTGTTACCTATTACACGGAAAGACATTCTTTTTCTCAGTGCAAAAAGCAAATAACAGATTTATAGAAGTGAATTAGAAATCTTTAATTAATAAAAAGCGGAAGAAATGGCTTTTATTTCAAACTAAATGAAGATAATTTGTGCGTATTAATGAATTATCAGTATTACGCGATGAAAATCAGAATAAGATCTTTTGTCACAGGAGGAAATACACGAATTATTTGCTTCCATTTTCAAAACTCTGATAGAAGAGTGAATCGAATAAAGAAACAAATCCGACCAGAAAAATTCGGTCGGTTATTGGAAATTTTATGAGCAATCTTTTTAGCTATATTCTATGATAACCCTTAGAGAATCCGGAAAATTCATGTTTCGGATTCGAGTACGGGATTGATCAACCTGGGTTGTCCAGTAGCTAATGATAATCAATGTTTGCATTTTGCAATTAGGCGACATATTGGGTTGGTAAGAAAGTTTTTGCGTTTTTTCTCAGATTTTCATTTTATTTCTTTTCTTTATCAACAAGCACTAGTTCTCATTTATGTATGCACCATCTATTTCTATAAGTTGACACCAACGATTTGGAAGACAAAAGACCCCCCGCTCATAGAAGTCCGGGAACTTCCATTGGAAAAAGTTGTGAGAGCGAATTTTAGGTCATTCTTGTCGTCGAACTTTTTCTTGCTCAAGCAGTTTGACAGACAGCGAAACAAATGGTAGCCAGTGGAAGCCAAGTCCGGCGAATAAAGTGGATGGAGTATGGTAATCCAACCGAGCTGCAATAATTTTTCACGAGTCAACTTTGTCACATATGGTCTTGCATTGTCGTGGAGGAAATAAATAAATTCGATCTCGTTTTCCTTTGAGTTTTGGACAACACAATCCAGTTGTTAACAATAGAGATCATCTGTGACTGTGTAACCATTAGGAAAAAGTTCCCAATGGATGATTCCTCGCATGTCCCACCATGCACTCAACATCACTTTTTTGGAAAGCGTGTCCACCCGTGACTGAAGCTGATACGGCGATAATTCGTGTGGAATCCATACCCCATATTTCCAGCTCTTGCCAAGATCAGCCAAATGTTTTTCGAGGGTGATATGGGAGCACCCGAACAGCGCTGTTAAAGCACGTGCCGTCAGTCGCGGATCTTATTGGATCAGCTGCTTGAAAAGATCAATATCGACTTCGATAGGGCTTTCACACCTGGACTGATCATCAAGTTCGTAATTCCCATTACAAAATCGATCAAACCAATGTTGTGCCGTGCGGATGGACAGGACACCAGGGCCCACCGTACTGCATATATTATTCACTGCTTCAGTTGCTTTGTGTCTCAATCGAAATATTTTCGTTCGAACGTCATTCACCCTCCCTATATATATCCTTCGTATCAACGCTTCGATGACTTTCTTACCAACCCAATAGATGTGGTACAATGTTGGCTCTTCCGAAAAATCATATGTCATCCCCCAAACTACAGGGATTTCGACGGCATGAAAATAGACTCCTTGTTTGCATGATACAATAGATATAAGCTCAGCTTCCGCCACTATAATATCAAGTGATATGGCAGATTTTTAAAAAAATTATAAGGCGTCGCCATACCACCAATCGAATTCTGGCTACGCCTCTAGACGTGTAGGGCAGAGTAGCTTACACATATTATCGAAGCAATCAATTGTAATCGAATGAAATTTACTGATATATTAAAAGAAGAAGAGGAAAAACGTGATTCCGTCCAATAGACAATATTATTAAGGTAATGAGCATATGTACGGACGTATTGCATTTTTTGCGAGATATTCAATGATTGAATAAGACCATCTGCTCCCGCTAATGACTTTGACAACATTTGCTTGAACACTTGATCGGGCACTCTTAAGTACTTGAGCTTATAGTCGGATATGGACTGACTAATATTTGTTTGCTCTTCGATATTATACATGGTTGTGACACGCTGTCGTTTCTTTGGAGTATTGGAAATTGACATTTCACTTACAGATGCGAACATACCTCGTGATTGTTTGCCTTGTTTATGTTTCGAAGTCTTCGATATTTGAATGCTATCTGTTTCAGGTGTTTTCTGTTGTAATAAATGGAAAAAAGGAAAAAGAATCGCCTATTCGAAATGTTTCACAATAAACTTTACTTACTACATCATGTTCAGACATAAATAGTAGTAGACTGTTCATGGTTTTCACTTTGAGTAGCATTAGTATACGTGTCGAGCAACTTTTCAATTTCTTCTTTGTTGAGCCCTTGCTTCTTAAGTCTTGCTACAAATCGTTGACGTTTACGATTACCTCGACATTCTTTCGTTTGCCGTTTTTGGTCGCTCTTGTTTTTCGCTTTGTGGAACCGGTTGTAAAATCGATGCTGAAAATGTTTGTTGTTGAGCAGTACCTGCTGATAGTGGAATTAATGAAGAAAACGACGTAGATCTAATATGTTGAACAAACAATATTCTTATTGATCTTTATTCGTGAAGGCATCTAAGTTCTTATATGTGAATTATAAATATCATAGGTCATTTCGTCCTTTGTGAAGGGATATATTAGGTAGTTATACATTTTTCGATCACGGATCACCCAAAATTTAAGCAAATCTGGACTAGCTACAATCAGGTGCCTCGTCTTCTTGTTGTCTCTATCGTCATCATCGTAATAATCGTGGTCAACAACGAACCAACGGATACCACTTCATTTACGAAACAAGTTAGTCCAAATGCGTGTCATTGCAATCAAAGAGTTTTTCCTTCTTCTATATCTACTATTTCTCTCAGGGATTCATACATAGAGAGAAATGATACAATAATATATGAATAGTCTCATGGGGCTTCTGAATAATATAACAGTGTACTCAAAAAGGCTGCTCGGTGAAGGAGAAACAAGATTCAAACAGTAAGTTTTATATGCGAAATCTCTTCCTATTATATTAATAGCTTTTGAATCTTAGTCAATCGGTTGAATAAACAAATCAGATCATAATTTCTGAGTTTTTCATGTTCGTACTTATTTTAGCTTGGTGAATCTTAGCGATTTCCATGGAAGGAGCACTTTTCGATATGTAATATTTATTACCCAGGCGCAACATCATTTGTTGTTTCGAGCTCTATGACAATCTTAATTACCTGATGGTGGTGATGACACTCGTACTACGAGGGCACTATTGAAGATGTGACAATCTGATAACTTGGATGTACTATGTCACAAAAATTAAGTTCAAATAATATTTGTTCGATGAACAAGCTGTTATCTAAAAGAGATTGGTAGTAATAGAAGGCAAAAGGAAGTAATTTAAGTCACTGATGTGTAATTTTTTGATAGATTTATTTAAATATTTGCATAATTCATCATCATTGAACCGACTTATTAAATCAAAATCAAACAATTTAGTTGTCAACGATATCAAATGTGTTGTTGATTTGAATATTTCTTTGAATGTATCGAGTGTTACAAACTGTAAATTATTGAGAATCAAATGTTTGATATTTGATAAATTCACTATCATTTGAAGATATTTTACATGTGAATCCGTCATATCCATATCTGTATCAGATTCTTGATGTAACGGGTGTTAGCAATAAGCATTCAGCATTTGAGAAATAATATTGATATCCTTTCGTTAGTATTTGAGGGTCAAGCGTGAAATATTTTACATTATCCAGTGTATTTAGGTAATTTCTTGATTCATTGTTATATCTATGCCCACATAACGACATTTTGAATTTTTCAAATGAATATAGTATAGCATAAATTTACACAATATAATCGGTGTACCAATGATGTTCTTTACACCAAAAATTCTTTTGAAATTCTTTAAAATTTTTCTCATCAATATCACTTTGTAAAAAATTATCGAAAAAAAATTGAATTTGAAATTTTCTGATGAGGTAACAAAGAGGTCATGAAGTGTTGCCATACATCAGCAATGATAATGTTTGACTCACTATAAATACGTATTATTAAATTTTCTAATTTTGGTGTTTGTTTTAACAATAGGAAAAGATAATCAACACTATTTTGAAAACCATTGATATATAATGTTTTCAAGTTATGTGCAAAATTAGTAATATCTCTGATATCATTCATTGTTATTTTTGCATCACAGGCAAATTCTATTTTCAGATACTTTAATTTCGATGCGTTGTCTATGAGAGAAAATAAAGCATACAAGTTACAACGGTAAATTGATAAATGAATAATTGATGAAAATTCTTTATTAAAAACTGATCTTAGAAATGATTGTTCAGGTATGGTTAATGTTTGTACTTGTGGCATAGTTGAGATTAAAGATAATATATCATCTGATGGTATATAATAAGCAATCATATGAAAAGAAGATAACTCGGATAGTAATGATAATATTGAGCGAATTATTTTCCAATTATTTTCTGTTACATCTTTTAAAGTTATGGTACGAAGATTTGGAAATTGGAAAAGCGACAATTTTGAAAGAAATAAATGAATTGGATAATACGTAATGAATAAATTTGATTTCGAAGTATTTCATTAGTCAATAAGTTCTCACAAAATTGTTCACATTGAAATTTAGTATAAAAAGTTTCAGAATTCAAACTAAATGGAATACTTCGAATAAGAGAACTGAATCGATGGTTTAATTGATCAAATATCGAAAACATTGAAATATGGTTTCATTTGGTAAAAACTCGAATTTTATTTGTACCATTACTATGATGGTAATGTATAGATTGTGAAACAACATGGTTTTTTTGTCTCTCTATATAAAAAAATATATATTAAATGAGTCATGATGTATTTTTTTTGTTCCTTTCCAAGTGATACTTATTGGTGAGAGAAAAATCTTTGAGATAAAGTAAGAGATATCGGTGGACACAATTTCCAACTATTATAGTTACCATATAAAAATATCTGTTTTGTTTGACATTATCTTATTTCCGTTATCATCAAACACTTCTACAGTTGTTTATTCTGTTTGTTTTCATTGCATCTATTTATTTACTTGACATTTACTGAAGATGAAAATCTATGTAAAAACACTGACGGGTATGATTATGACTTACGAAGTAGAACGTACAGATACGGCTCTGTCGTTGAAAGAAAAGATCGCCGATAAGGTTGGCTTTCCACATCTTCAGATACACCTTATCAATGCTGGTAGACAAGTTTTTGAAGAAAAAACGATTGAAGATCATAATATTCAAGATGAAGCATTGATTCATATGACACTTGCAAATAGATCAACAATGATCATGAACTTCTGTCAAACTTTTTTCTATTTCGATTATTTTAATGTTAATATATAAAATCGCTCTAATCGTCTACAACTCTATGTATTTTTTTATTGAAATCAAAATCAAGAATATCATACGAATTTGTTCAAATTCATCTTCAAGATAAATTTCTAAAGTAACTATCTTCTATTTAGAAGACTTCGGAGTGTGCTAATAATTTTTATTAGAAATTTAATTCAGTTTAATATCGAGTCCACATGTATTACAGCAAGGTGGTTTTCCACAACACGTGAGACACATTGGAGGTCGGGTGACACGGCTGACCGGAGTGGAAACAGTTGATGTGACTACGGTTGATTCCGTAGTTAGATTAATTAAGTCAGTTAGATTGAAGTTAAAACCACATTTTGGTAAACCACAGCAGTTACAACAGGGCGGTGGACCACAGCAAGTTGCACACCGTTTTTCACGATTAAGTTCGCTGGAATGAATACAGCCGAGGACAAATATTAAGAGAAAAGCAGCTAAAAGATAACTAGGCATATTGAATAAAACACGAAAAATGTGCAAATAGTCAAATATTTGCACTGATTTTTATAGTCATGATAATATTAAAGACATCTGTATCAGTTCACATACAATTTAGCATTGCTATTAGTAGGCGTAAATAATTACGTACTTTGTAACTTTAGTTTTCTCTTGAAAATTTTGAAGTTAATGTCAATGCAGATGCATATATTTATTAGAAGAATCCATCAAACGTTTTCTTCCACGTTATCTTATTTTAGTTAGCAACGAGCAGATAGAACCTACGGGCGTAAATCAATCGTTGATACAAAAAAATTGCTGACAAGACTGATTTTCCTGCTAATAGAATGCATCTTGTTCTTCATTCATATTCAGTGTAAGACATTGGCGGCGCACCGTGTAGGCGAAGGGAGGCAATAAAAAGTTATTGTCTCACCTATCTACTACATCGTTTGATAATTCTTATTGTCTTCTCTTATATACACATTTTTTGATAGTTTTTTATTAAAAAAACATATAGCCATTGTGGGACTTACCTTCTTTCCTACAAATTATGTTGATAGATGCCACACCAGCACTATAATGAACAGCAATTAATCTCTTTAATAATTGACGTTTTATTATGAGAACATATGGTTATAAAAGCAAAAAGCGATTTGTACTGATAGCTTACTCGAGATTTTATTTCATTTTTTCGAAAGGACAATTTTGCTATGTGATTACCAATGATCAGAAGGGAACGTGGAGGAAGAAAAAGAAGAGTAATAGACTTTTCTCAAAATAGGAACGTTTTGACAGAAAAGTTTTTAAAAATTATTGTAGTTCTTCGAAAACTGATTTTAAAATTTTCAAGAATTCATCAGGTTTTCATAGAAACTTGCGAAGATTTGCGCCAACATTTTTAGAAGATAAGTAAATTAATACGGCAACGTCGAAATCTCTATGTATCTTTGTGGGTGGAAATGGAAGGGGTAAATGATGTCACTGAATTCTCTATCAACAAAGGTACCTCTGTCTCGAAAATTGACTGCCTCCCCTAAAATGTTGGTCTTGCACCGACCATGTTTCTTTGAGCTTTACCTTTTGAGAATAAGTTCTCTCGTAAACAATATTTTTTCTTGCTGTAGACTTCATCTAGAGAACCTATAAAACTGCAGCTCTTGAAAGTTTAAAAAGAGCCTTATGTTACGGTATAGTGAAGAAAAAACGTATGAATTAAAAACTTGACCGCAAAATCTAATGATTTACTGAAAATAGTTTCCAAATAGCTCAAAAAAGAAATGAATCGAATTCAGTAGATGTTCATGAGTCAAAAAGTCTATCATAGTAATACTTTCAATCGAAATCTGTTAGAAAATATATAAGCAAATATTAGATCCATGAAAAAAGAACTGGGTCTACATTTCCAGATATATCGCAAAACTCTTCCTAAAAGTAAATGAAGCGGATAATTAGTTGATGATATTCTTGTTTAGTTTTTCACGGTGCATCTTTCTACGGTAATCCGACTAATTTTCTTTCAGTAGTTAAGGAATAACAGACGAAATAATTCTGAAAAACTGGGTCTACAGTTAGTATGTAATTAGAGCTTTTTTATTTTCTGGCCTACTTAAAAAATGTTCGCCATAATTATCTGTACATACTTTTGTAGCATTTTTTATGCTCTATCTTTTAGTGGTTTTGATTTTTTTCAAAAATATGCTCCTTAATCCTCCAGCGTCATTTTAGACTGGGTCTACACTTTGTCTGTAAATATGTTTTCGTCAAATAAAACAAAAATAAACAAAGCAAAAACAAAAGTGAGTCACATACACAGATAGAGAATTTAATTCTGCACAAAACTTGCTGTTCATTTATTTCATTTTTCTTCCTTCATTCCTTCAAAAATTTCGTTTTCTGTTGATGACTTATAGAAAAAGTGCCTTTTTTCCGCTTGTGTCTCTTATATCTCAGCCGGACAATGAGCTATGACGCTAAAAGTTTTTGTGGTAGTGAGACATACACAAATGAATGCCAGAAAAAAAGACCTGTGATTGCAATACAGAAACTGGAATTACAGGGGGAAAAGGTTGAAAAAATGCAATTGTACGATAAAGTGTTTTAGCGGTGAAAAATATCGTAACGGTCTGGAACTTGTGCGAATAAGCTGGGTTCAATCACTAGGATTCTATCGGAACCGCTGATCGGATTCGGGCGTATTTCATTGAAATATAGATTAGTAGCATTTCGAAAGAAAGAAAAGGAAAAAACATAGAGAACAATGTGAGAGAATACTTTTACTGCAAAAGAAACAAAAAAATAGCTTCACTAGAAAAGCTATGCGATCTTTTCCTCTTCCACCATACAATAGCGAAGATGAGGAGTATGATCTATGTGAAGCATCAAAGTCCGGAGGGTAGGTTTCAGTAGATATGGGATGTTGGTACAGACCCAAAGCATACAAAAAGAATTGTTTTAAGGAATTACAGTCTTTATTTTTTGCACGAAAATTATCCTGTCGAATATATACGTTGTTAACAGTCAAGTGGTTAAAAAGACTATGATTGTTTATCGTTAATTTTGACCACATAATCGTCTCTGAATATTGTTTTTATATCGGTCACATATCTTCTTGAAATGTTGCTTATAAGTTGTAGATGGCAGAACAAATACTATAAATGTTAACATAGATGGTATGAAAGAGATAAAATATCCGATTAAAAATAGCCATGGTTCACTGATAGATTTCATGCAACCAAAAACAAAAGAAAAAATTAATCGTGGTATAGCTAATATAACTAAAACGATTGATGTAATAATCAAATGACGATGTTGTAGAAATTCTTTTTTCAATTGTTCATAAAAGCCTTCTTTTGTATTAACAGATTTTTTCTGACGGGCTATCAGGATCATAATGATCGAAGCAGACATAAAATTAATAAAAAATGGCACTAAAAAATGAAATAAATTCATAATTGTATTAAATTTTTGCACCGAAGATGGATAAAGAACGGTACACCAGATTCGTTTCTTCGTTTCGTCGTCATCGTCATCATCATCAATCACCCGACGATAAATCGGATCATGAATAGTTGTAATTATATTCAAGAAAATCACAAACATCGTAAGATATTTTGCTATTTGTTTACTTTTCTTTTGATTAAATGATGTTCCATTAATTGTCATTATTGCTCGTTCAACTGCTACACAAGCATTTAACCATTGATTGATATTCAAAGAGATTTGCACGAAAAAATCCATTGTAATACATTGAAATTTTAAAAAAATTCGATTTCTATTTCTTATTTGTGTAAGAAAAAGTATCCAAAACTTTAATGTGAACAAAATTGCTGTCAATATCGTCGAAATCGATGAACTTTTCAAATAAATTCCGCAACCAATTTGATGTATTTCTTTTGTATTAAATGTCAGTAAAGATAAAATACCATTGATTAATCCAATAATCATCATAATCATCGTTAATATTAAACTAAATTGAACAATAAATGGTTGAGAACTTATATTTAAACTTGGTTGAATATGATAACCCAAAATAGCATCAAGTGAAAGACCAAATCCACGTGAATTAAACTGACATCGTGTTCCATAAAAACATCTTGGACAAACACAGATTGATGTTTGTGGACATGTGGTACTATCTTGTAGACACTCTGCTTCATTTTCACAATTACTTTGACCAGAACAATCAAATTTTTTTGATGAATTAAATTCGAAACAATTTGCAAGACGTTCTTTTCCATAATTTTGACATAAACAAAAGTGATTCTCATCGTAGAAACAAGAGTATTGATGTGAAGAAATTTGACATGGTATATGATAATATTTAATACGACGAATTAAATGATAATGAGCGATTGTTTCATTTAATAATTCATTTATATGTGGACAACGATCTGTTGTTCGAAGAATTCGGTGATTAATTGTTGATTTTTCGTAGATTTTTTGTGCGAGAAGTAGATAGTAATCATGAAAAACTTTAAGAAAAATCAAATGAAACGGACGTGACCAATGGATTGTAATATTATTTTGATAGAGAGGTATTGCTTTAAAAGTGTTACCATACTCCGGTGGACGATTATCAAATATTTGCAAAAAATGAATAAGAATTTTGTCTGGTAAACGTATTTTTTTATCGAATGTGATAATAATTCTGTTATCTGAGATTTCACATCGGTCTCCAGTAAAACCTATGGGACAAATACATTTGATTGTTTTCTTCGACATTACATGTGGATCAGTTGATATACATTGACCACCATTTTGACATGTATTATTCTGTTCACTACGGCACATCGTAGTAGAAAAATGACACTTTGAGCCCCATCTATTGTGTGGACAAATACATAATGATTGATTATTTGGCAAGATACCAATACACAATGAATCAGATGAACATGTGCAATGATATGAAATCGTACAATAACGACCAGACCATCCACGATCACAAAGACAAAAGCTGTTACCATTAGATGAATCAGTGTATTTAATACATCGTCCATGAACGCATCGAAGAATTGAACAAGTTTCTATATCATCATATGTACGCGGAATATTAAGTTGTACTGCTACACGATGTACAGGTAGAAAAGAAAATTTCAATGGTATCATAAAACTACCTCGATATGTATGTGAAATCTTTTCATAAAGATCGATATGTATAAAATAGGTTTTATTTGGATCTTTTGGTCGCGATAAATATAACAAATACACATTGAATTTCGTTTTACAATCTCGTACGTATAAATAACTAAATTGTTGATGTGAATGAATTAATCGTTCTTGACTATCTTCCATAAGTAAAACATTGACAAGAAACGTTGTACGTCGTGAATCGGAATACGTATGAAATTTTAATGTAAGACTAACACGTTGATTTTGATATTGACATTTATTTCCATAGAAACTAGGCGGACAAAGACAAGTTTTAGTTGTTATATTATGTTGATGATCTAACCAAACGGTTAAAGATAGACCACGATGACAATGTTGGGAATTAAAATGAATATGTCGAGAAATNAATGATGGGCTTTTTTTAATGGTAAACACATAAATCGATTTGTCTGCGGTGAAACACATATGTGATGATGTGATGGACAATTCAATAATGCTGATACATTACAGTCGACTTCATCTGCTCCATTCAAACAATTCCAAAAACCATCACAACGTGTATATGAATTATTACATGGCCAATATTCACATTCTGTTTCGTCTGTGTCATTACGTCCATCGATAAGAATGGGTAATAGTTCTGTGAAACCATCACATATAGTAGGAAATGAAATATGATGCCTCACTGATAGCATATTTGTACTATATATTGAATTAGAATTATTGATTATACTACATTTTTCATCATCCCCATAATCACAGTCCGTTCTATTATCACATAATCGATGTTTTGCAATGCATTTAGATGAGTTCCAACATTGATAGAAATCTTGTTCGTTACAAATTGTTGGATCTTTGTATAATATTGTATTGCATTGACTTAGTTGCCTGATAATTGGTAAAATAAAAGCATTTAACCAACTATCTCGACCAGGGCCTGATGAAGAATAGTTCAAAGGAAAATCTTCTGGTCGGCGACATGTTTTACCGTTGTATGAAAATAATGATTTGTTCGAGAGGAATCCGTTGCACAACCGATCATCATAACAAATATAGTGTGGTGATATGATACCACGTTGCTGCTTAATAGTTTGCTCTTTATCGTAAACAACATAGATATGACCAAAGGCAATCGGTTTCGCTGGTACATGTATCATACTCGGACATGTCATATTGATTATGTCTTCACATGGTATTTCAGAACAAAGGGCACGACATGTTGGATTCCATGGATCTGGTAAGCGTAAGAGGCAGAATAATGCGTCCCAACAATCGTCTGATAAATTATTTGGTTTAGTGGAAAATAATGTTTGTCTTAGTAAAGTATCACGTGATAGTAAACATGAACTGGTAAATTTCATTTCTAAAGGAGGATTTCGCGGGCAAATAATATCTTCATTGGCAAATATAGGTTCAGTTATGAATTGATGAGAAGGTCGTAAATCTTCTTTTTCATCTGATTGATCGAGACATTCAAAATGAGGATTAATATTATCATGCAAAAATAACTTATCAATACATTGACCATTATCACATCGAAATTNATAAATTTTCACAATAAACCCTAAACCAGATCAAAAACACAGAAAAAATATATAAAAAATCATTTTTTAACGTGGCGCACGAACTTTTTCCTCAACCTAATATGATAGAATGAATTGCCTACATAGCTAAAAGCGAAGAACCGATTTAACCTTATAGATCAAAGTTTCGTATGCATTTTTTCCGTTCTCTTGTAGAATATGTGACTGTCGTAGAAGATACCTATTGTTTAGTAATAGGAAATACTATTTCATTTACTGAGACCTAATCAAATGTTTTTACCATGTGTATACTCTCAGACAAATCGTCTCAATATTATCACAGGATCGGTAAGAAATAATTGTTCGAAGAAACCTTTGATTAATAACTTCGTTTGTTTTCTTTTTTCTGTGTACTATTATTTTGAATCGGCTTTATGCTTATAGAAACTGATTAGACAGGGGACCGTGGCTACGTATTACGATAATTAGCTTCAAAAGTCTTTTCAGTGCAAAATTCAACTCAAATCTGAAGGTCTATACTACAAGATAAAAGTTTTCAATGCATACTATCGTTCATTTGAGAACTTTTTAGAAGCGGGTGCGTTGCTTGATGTGTTCATACTTAAAATAGAATATTTATCACACACGAAATGTGCTTAATTATCTACAAGAATAAAACTATCCTGACTGCATTATTCTCTATTTTTCAATTAACAAAATCCTTTGATTCTCTAAATTTATACTAAAAATCTTCGAGTAGGATAATTTTTGTTAGAAATCAAACGACAAGCGTCTACACAGAAAAGATATCAAGAGAAAAAGAAACAACGCCGACATTATCGTTAGTAGTGTGTGCCTTAAAACCGTTGAGAAACTACATATACAATTTCCATACTAATAATTATTATTAAATCCGTCGTTCATTTATTTAGGTTTTAAGAAAATAAATAGTTTCTACAATGACATTGAGTATTATCCTCTCAACAATTCAAACGCAAATCAGTCGCTATTTTATTTCAACAGCTTTAGCGTTTGGTATAATTGGATCTTTACTAAATATCTTACTCTTCTCCCATAAACGATATCGAAATAACTCATGTTGCATTTGTAAAGATAGTATATTGCCTACAGTTCAGTATTCATAACTTCTTTTTTATCATAGATTTTATAACGGCATCATTTGGAATGCTTGTTGCAATGTGTTTTGGACTGGTGCCTAGTATCTATTCAGTAGATCATCCCAATCCGGCAAATACAATAAATGCAGTTTGTCAATTGCGCAACTATTTTGGTCAATGTGGTACGATGACATATCGATGGTCACTAATTATGGCTTGCCTTGATCGATATGCTTCATCATCATACAGTGTTCGTTTGCGAGCATTTGCTAAATCACATATTGCTGTTCGTGTTTCATTAATTATTGCAAGTATATGGATCATAGTGCCTATACATAATTTCATATATCTTAATATCGTTGATGGTCAATGTATATGGCTACCAGCCGGCTCTGCAATTTACAACAGCATGATGGTTGTTGTAGCAGGTGGACTATTTCCAATATCAACCATGATTACATGCGGAATACTTATTCGGAATAATCTCAAACACAAACGTGAAATTCGTCGAAGTAAAGTTCAATCAATGAAGGAAAATGCAAGAGATCGACAAACTTTGATCATGCTAGTTATTCAAATTATTTTTTATATGATATTAACATTACCGTGTGTATTAAATGTAATCTATAGCGCTTTTACATTCTATGTCGCAAATAAGACCAATGATAGAATAGCTATCGATTCATTTCTTGAGTTTATGAGTGAAACCCTTGCATATACATATTCAACATCATCATTCTATTTGTATACATTATCATCACCTTCATTTCGTGAGCATTTCATCAAGATTATATATTCCATTTTCAAACGCCTTAATCAATACCATACTCATTTACATCGTGTAGCACCATCAATTTAAGAACTTAAAAGATTGACTATTGAAATAAACTTTTAATGGATTTTATATGTGAAATGTAACAAATAAGATTACTTAAATAAATCAAACATATTATAGACGAGAAATGTATCTCGTTTATTAAGAAATATTTTCTTTTAGTTAAAATTTTTTGATAGAAAAATATCTCATTAGTTACACCTGAGCTATTTTTAGTATTTCAAGTGATTATCCAATTAAGAGATTGACAGGCGACGATTTGAAAGAAGTACTTTTTTTTGTACTTCATCGCGTGTCTCAAACCATGATAGTAGATGAGATGATTGGGAAAACGATTCAAATTTTTGTAGCATACACTTAGTTGCATACATGCAATTATTTCCCATCTATTTATCATTCGTCTTACTTGAAATTCAAAAACAACAACAATAAAAATACATCAGCGATGCCTCGAGAAAAACTATGGTAATTTTTGGTATAATAAGTACTGTTATCTTCTTTTCATCTCGATTATCAATGATTCGTAATGAATATAATTCTCAATACATCGTCGGATTTGTCACTGATCAGATCAGCTCGAATCACTCTGGCGCTTTTATTTGAAATTCTTGCGATATGTATTGAACTATGGAGTGATAAATATTCGATTTTATTCGGCTAATATAAAAATAAAGATATATATAGGTTCCAAATATGAATATTAGCACTAATTAAGTGGAAATACATACAGCCGCTCTTTATATTCTTTCTGCTATATAGTAGATTTTTTTCTGTGAAAAAGAAGAATCTCTTGATTGTTTGAGAAGATATACGCAAGTTAAAAAGGCCGATTTTTTGTTTATTGTAACTATTACTGCCTTTTGCTGCTCGTGTAGTGCGCCAGTGTAAGAATGTATTAGCCAAACGTTATATGAAATTCTTATTGTGCATTTAGATTGTCTATGATTTCATGTCTTTGACTGTAGTTTATAGTTCGAAAAGAATCTAATTGCTGGCGAGTTAAAATAACTCATTTCCCTGCAATTATTACTGTTGATCAATTGGCTTCATTACTGCAGTTTGGTCCGTCCCGTAGCGCAATTCCAAAGCATCAAAAGTTCTAACCAGAGTATGCATGGATAAATGATTTTGACAGCGAAAATGATGCAAATGGATTTTCACGCCAAAGATCAAAACTAACCATTTCCAATTATTTAATAACGTGCACTCCAATGGAACCGACAGAAAATGTTATTAATTATCGACATCAATAGAATGGAAATGACAGAGAACGAGAACGTGAGTTTATTTTTAATAGTTTTTAAAAGAGAGACAAAATGCTTATTCGATTTTTTGTAGCATCACCTATATTCAAGATTCAAAAACGAGAACTAATCCCATGTACGAATGTAGACTATGTTCTCATGCAAATAAAGGAAAGTTTTTATTTCAGCAATGATCAATGTAAATTTCGTCATACAAAATGTCAGACTACCATTATTGTCCACGATATAACTGTTTGCTTGCCCATTCAGACCCAAAGTGTGTCTTAGTAAAGATCGACGCTACAATTATGATTGTGTATATGATCATCCAGAAGGATGGACGGTTCGTACTAAAGGAATACAATGTATGAAATATGAATGTGATGTAAATCATCCACCCGGAGTTATGAAAAAAAAAATGTAATAAATGGAAACCAGTGCAAAAACAATAAGAATAATGTGTGCAAATTTCGTCATCTGAAGATAAATGTTGAAATGTGTTCACCTTGAGGGTGAAGGGGTGGGTGATGATGGAAGTTGAATAGTTTAAAACTCAAGTACTCGAATTCTAAATTGACAGATTCAGAATTTCAACGAAAGTTTTAATACTCGAATCGAGTTAACGATTCCTACACTACTCTCAACAAAGAAATTAATACGAAGATTTGGTGCAAGAAAAAATGGCTCGAAATGAAAATGGAAGAAAATCGTTAAAATTGATTTTTCAGGAATATTTACAGTTGTACACTTTCATAATAGCAAAAATGATGTAACTTATGCTAGTTTAAGAGAAAAATCGATATTGAAATATCCAGATGGCGTAATGATTTGCAATGCGATTTGCACGGAGGGTTTGATACCTCACGATGGCCTTTTCCATATTTCTGAATGGTTACAAGACCAACGCCCAAACGGTAAACATAAAAGAATGCATATAACTGGCGAACTATATGCTATATTTTATGTGTAGAAGCCGTTTCAGCACTTAATTAAGTCGTACATTTGGATGCGGCCATTTTGCAAGATGATCAAGACTCAAAACATAGAACACAAGTAGCTATGGATGTTGCTTGTGATCTTTTTGAGGATAGGATTCACCTAAATGATGGAGATGTCCAATTTGCGGAATTACGAAAGAGCATCTTGATGGTGTGGATGCGGCGATGCTGAATACTTGCACCCACTCATTCACAATCACACTCACCCTCGAGTCGGTCCTTACCTGTTTCATCTCTTTGCAAGCTTCATAAAGATTGACAGCACTTTTCAGGCTTTAATCAAATTTTTATGCAGAATCTCCTGTAATTACTTTTTTTACTGGATTCTATTGAAAGTACATTTGCCACGTGAGCATTGCGTTGATTAATTTTATGTATATAATATTCTGAAGTCTATCTCATGCATGTACTACTGTTGTGTGCTTTGCATACATAAAGGAAACAAAAAACAATAGCTTTCATAGATTATTAAAGCTTTCCGTAAAAAAAATCTTTTTTCGATCATAGAAAAAAGTGTGGGCAAAGTATATACAAACAATAATGTAATTATGCATGAGCAAAATCATCAGCAACGAGTCAGAAGAATTGACAGGTGTTTCTCTCTAAAGAACGACGGTGTATATCTTGCTTCATTTCATACCTTATGGTTACTATAAGATATGAAATGAGGCAAGCAGTGACTGGATACTTTGTACTTGTCCTCGTCCAATCATTAAATATGGTACACAGTTCCTATGTGGGTATTTAAATTTCTTTTCTTCATGAAAATTAGCTACAGACTAGAGCTTTTTTTCTATGCTAGAAACAAGGGCGTGATTGGTATCATGTGGGAGCAATGAGTCTAATTACGGCAAGACGACTTTGGTGGTTTTCAATCTGCCTTACCTATGGTGCACACTTGCGATTTATCTGATAGTGCTGCACAGCTGAGCATCACCAACGGAACAGCTTTTAGATCGAGCAGCCCATCGCGAAGATGATCTGTACAAATATATATCCTTTAATTATTTTAGATTAATCATTGACGACCTTGAAGGCTCTAACGGGCACAGTGTATGAGGTAATTCCCTCGACTGAAAGGAGGGTCATACGAAAAAAATAGTTGGTATGTTTGTCTGTTTGTGTCAGGATCAGAGGTCAAAGGTCAGAAAAACATTTTTTTCGAAAATGCTCACAACTTCATGAAACATCGTTTAGGAGGAATCCTGAGGCTCTCGAGGTTGGCTGGATGACGGGTGAAGGGGCAGGGACGTGACAGAAATGAAGAAAACATTTCAACCGCGCCTGAGAGGAGGGCTATATAAAAGAGTTGCTTACAAAAAAGTAAAAACACACTCGATTGACTGTCGCATACTACAGGCCAGTAATCCAAAAATACATTCATTCACAAGATAATACTGGAGAGCAATCTTAAATGCTGAGCTTCGATATATTGAGAGTTTTTGTAGGCCTTTAAGCCTTTTAATTAAGGAGATAACCTCAAATGTTCGGACGAGAATAATCTTATCCATGAGATGCTGATGGAATGCTAATTAATTTTTGATACTTTTTAGTAGCACACGGATAATTATATGATAGATAGGGACAACTTTGGAGCGGCGAGTTGTGAGTGACGACCCTGTGGGGCGCCGACGAACAACGAGCTGCGCCTGGTAATCTAGTCAGTTACCAAAGTATCAACAATCCGACACGTTCGAATGCGAAATATATACAGAGTCTCATTTGGTCTTGGCGAAATTATCTTTCTTTTAGAAAAAGGAGGGCATGTTCAAAGGTGCAATTCCATAATAGTCATTTATAGCGAACTTCTGCTTCCTGTGAAGAGTAATTGTCAGTCAGGAATATAGAATAATTAAAAGCAACACAAGTAGTCCTTTAACTCTTTTGACGGCTGTGAGGCGAATGAAGATCAGTCTCTGGGAACCCTTTCAAAGGTTATACTTCTGTCTTTCTTTTTTGCATAAAACGCACATAAGACTATTTTATTTTCAGTCAATGGTTCAGCCGAGGGCATAGCGAGTCTGCCTTGACGAACGTTACCAGTATTAGAGAATACGAGAAGCCAGTATGAAAATGGAAAGAAGAAAAGTTTCCTAACGACATGATATGAGATTGATTAGGATATTTGTATTCTTACAACTATGGAAAAGTGACAAGACAAACAGATAAATACAAGGAAGGAAAAGCGAGACTTCAGAGCTGAAATACTTCATCTTACTTCAAATACTGCATGAAGTAGATGAAGTCTCGTTTTTCCCCCTTGCATAAACATCAATCCAAGAGCAGTGACAATAATTTATATAAAAATAGCTACGATGCACCAGAATCAATGTAATTCATGACTTTAAAAGGCCCAGATAGTCATAAGATAGGGAAGAATAACAACCGTATCGACAAAGTAATCAGAGCTCAATGCTATCATAGGAGAAAAATGATGAGAGAGAAGAAAGAAAAAAGGATTGCACATCGCACATTACCATAAAAATGTTTCTGGGAATTCACACAAGGTCTCAATGTCGGCTGGGTGAAAGTTCAGAATTGAATCGTTGTCCGGGATATCTGCATACAATGAAGAACATCTTTCGATTACCGAAACGTACTCCACGTAGCGCTTCATTTGTAGGATTCCCATGATACTGCTCTTACCCGTTAACCAAATGTTTCTTAAAGCATTAAGATTACTCTTTTCCAGTGCTAGTCTTCCGTTCATCTCGAGGGCAACTGTGGGATGAGTAATCAGTATAGTTATTATTAATACTTTCACCCACACCCTAAAAAATTACTCTTCCTTCGCTTTTGTCACAATGTAAACGGCGGCTTCTAACGGGTTCGACAAAGAGATATCGTATATGCCTTTTCAGATATTCATTCTTTGAAATATGATCGAAATGATTCATATATTAGTAATTGCTTGGCAATGTTTTATTGCCATCGAGAGCATTCACTTCAATGGCGGTACGATTCGGTGGGAACCTGTTGATCCCCAAGCCAATTCAAGCCTGGTTGCGATTAATATCATACAATCATATTCTTGGAGCTATCCGACGATACAATGTGCAAACGATGTGCCAATTTCCACCAGTGGCCGAAGTGGTACGAACGCCAATCTAACATGCGTTGTCGACTGTTCAAGCGATGGTGGCTATTCAGCGAACCCAGTGAATATTTTAACTGATTGTGTTTCGACTATTCCGTCGCTAAGCATGATGACTAGTAAACGATCAGTCAATACAACACTCAAAGCCGATGCACACTTCTACATATCGTATCGAGGAAGTGCTTGGCGGACTATAGGAAGTCCACCACAAAGTGATCTTTACTGGTCAATTGTGTGTTTCATTGACCTTCGACGACGATCAGATGGTATCATAAACACCCCACCCGAAGCGAACGTCATTTCACCACAATATGCCATCGTGAACAGGACCACTCAAATACAAATACCCGTGTCAGATGTCAATGCAGGTGATGATTTACGGTGTCGATGGTCAGTGTATGTGCCTGGTGTTCGAAGACGGAGACAGTCAAATGCAAACCAAAATCTATATGACCGATCGGCGCACCAGATGTATAGAAAAATAGACGCAGACGGAGAAATTCCTCATATTAGAAAAAAAAGAACATGTGGTGGTGGTTATACATGCTATGGTCCGACGTGTGATTATAGTTGCTGTTGTTCCAGTGCATCTTGTTCATCAGCACCTAGCTGTATGGGTCAGAACTGTAACTCACCTTCTGGTTGTCCGATTATAACAACAACTACGACAAAATCAACAACAACTATGAGAACATCAACAACAATAACAACAACTGAAAGTATGACTACCGTGGAAACCGCAGGAACGTTACCAATCACTAGCTCATATCCAATACGCCAGCCCATTGACGAATGTGGCGGTATTTGCTATCCGAATACGGTACCCGTTGGTACGACTTTGTCAAACTGCACACTAACATTTACAGGACTTATACCAAACACTTGGTATGCTGTCTCAATTCAAGTAAGCGAAGCTGAAATGTATAAAGAGAAGGAGAAAGAGTTCGGGGAACGACTAATTCTAATATAATATATCATGTGCCCTGCAAAACTATACATGACCTAAAATATCAATAGGTATTTCAATTTTCGACGAGTCCGTAGAATATAGGGGATTCTCTCTCTTCACCACTAAGACTTTCGTTAGTTATTGGCTAAAGTTAGTGACATCATTAAAATATACTCACATATGTGCAGTAAGTGTATGTTTAAATATGAGTGTATCAAATTTTGAAACATAACGTGTTGGAGTAAATAGGAAACAATGTTAGAATAAGCAACAAAAATTAATGTAAGAACCGCTGGAATAAGATAACTAAAGAATATAATTCGAATATTTTAATCAGAACCTGTTATTGAACTTGATGGTGATGATGAACTAGATTTTGAAATGTTATTTGTGTTTTTCTTTTCTTCTGCGGCCAACTGGTTCGTCGACTAGATATGCAAATGATATTACTATATCAATCAATGAGCTTCTATCTGACTGTAAAAAATTTAATAGTTTCTCGGCTTGTTTAGCTTTACATGCTGCTCCATGAGTTACGACAGGCATTACATAATGTCATGATGATGATATAGACGAATATTATCTGAGTATAATTGTTGGTAATCTATTTACTCGATACCAGATTTACGGCCATATAAATGAAAGGTCGATAAAATTTCGCCGATGGCGAAAATCCGACTTATGTAAATCTTATTGAAGAACCTCCCACCAGTCGAATATACAGCTTCTTCGTTGTAGACCATGCTCAAACGTTGTAAAATTATAAATCTTAATTCCCAATGAAATCTTCATGAAGAGTCCATAATAGAAAAGACGTAAAGAAATTTTTTAACTATGATATTTTATATGACAGATGTCCATTGCGCTTGAGAATATGCCGCGCCGCCATCGAAATATTTTACGATCAACTATCATTTTAGAAGAAAATATAGAAATTGATATAAAAACTATTTCAAAAGCTTAGAACGAGACATAAAGATATTTTGAGGTTAAGACACTGTTGTAGATCATAGAATAAATCAGTTTAATATTGAACTGATTCATGAGAGAGGCAATTTGTATTAAATCAAACGTTGCATTGTCTCTTGGTTGGGACATCTGGTCGTAAAGGAGTAAAGAAAAATAGACTGCTGCTGCCGCGACGCACCATGACGGTCAGCGAAAATAAAGTATCGATACCGCCACCGGCGCGATGGAATCTCTATTTCATACCAATTTATTGATTTTCTGAAAATACATTGGTGTTGAAATCTGCACAACTTGTATTCTAGCAAGTTGTTCAACAAAACGACCATTTTCAGCCTTTTGTATGAATTTTTTAGACGAGAGCACTATAAAAATCTTAACTACCAAAGAAATTGTATTCGTGAATATTATTTGATCTGTGTATTATCACACATGTTGGCCAGGCTTTCAGAGTAGGTAAGGAACGGCAGTTCTGAAGTATTATGTGTCGAGTTCCAAAATCCGAACACGTATTAGCCAATTAGAATAGCTAGGAATTTTTTGGAAATTATGCAAGCCACGCAGAGCAGTTATTCTGAATTGATGATTACCAGAGAGTTTACGTTTCTCTGTAGTGCCATTCATTTTAAGGATCTCCCTCTTGCAGAAACTGACTTTTTCAAAAGAATGAAAATTGAGTTTTTTACATAGAAAGATGCGCCGGAGCTTCCTGTTTCCGAGTATATGTAGTTTTTTTGTAAAGCGATTAAGTTTTCACAGATTTATCGGGAAAATTTCAGCACAACCGTAATCGACTTTTTTACAATTCTGAATAAACTGTCTTACTATATGAATCTGTATTGAATAGAATGACTTTGTATTTAACACTAAGCACTTACCAGCACTCAAGATCACGGTTATATATTTATTTTATCATCAATATTGAATATTTAAAGTTTAAGTGTATTGTATAAGTATCTATTTGGAAAAGCGAAGTTTCTTGAAAACCAAATTTTTAACCTATACTGAAATATTCCACTAATCTAATGTTGATCGATTTGTATCAGAAATAAGATAATTGATAATGTGTTGCAGCTGAAAGAGCATAAGTAGCGTTTCAGTCATGGTTACCGAACACTTTCAATTTTTTTAATTTAATAAAAAAAATGCGATGAACCTTAATATCCAGAAAATACAGTTGTGTATAAATATGTACAATCTTGAAAGTGTGGGCGTGGCATGTGAGAAAATGAATTAACTTCTTGCTGATTCGATTACGAAATGAATGCGTGTGTATTGATTTAAAAATTAGATTAATCTCATCACATATTGTAATAAACACCTAGGTGATACGAATAAAAGCATTTTACAGATTGCCAAATTTTTTTCCCTTCCAGAACAATTTGTCCTTTTTCCATATTCTCATTCTATGATTATTGCGTTGAATGCGTTTGAAAATGTAATAAAAAGTACGGCACAATACTAAAATATATAATCTAGAAGTTTTCGCACCAAACACTATAAAATGCACATATAACATTCCTTTGCAGGTTGAAGATTTTATAAACTCTACCAGTATGACTCCTATGAGCTCAGTTCCAGTTCAACTTCTGATTTATGTCATGCCGACACCAAACTGTTCCATAGCACCGAGTATTGTGCCACTGGATGGCTGCCTCGAAGTAACAGCAAGCGTTATGAAAAGTTTCAATATATCTATAATCAATAGATGTAACCCTTTCATCTCGAATGTCAGTAGTGTTGTTGTATCGAAAGGAGTTACTGGGATGCAAGTTAGCAATATAACGCAATCATCAACAAATGTATCCATGTTCTATACTACATTTACTTGGACACCGCAAACAAATCAACTTGGTCAGCAACAATTGTGCATAATAGCTGTCACTGAGTAAAGTTGCTTTTGTCTCATCTAATGATGATTGCATCGTACATTTTTCATCATTTTAGTGAGATGGTACAATCTGCGGAGTATTGTGTTATATTCACTGTAATAGCTTCATATTCTCCATGTGTGACAACAACGACTAGTACAACGACATCCTCAACCAGTAGCACTACAACCACTTCGACAAGCTCGAGCACCACATCAACTTCAACCACAACAACTACGACTAGTACAACGTCAACATCAACTTCCACAACAAGTACAACAACGACTACAGTCACTACGACGTAAGTTTAATTATAATTGAAATTGAAAACATGGATACGGCTCAAATTTCTTTCGTGTCAATGTTCTGCTTCACTGTTCTCGATGAAGAGAAATACTGATTCATCATCATTTCTACATACAAATGAAACACAGCTCATAATTTTAACAAAAAAGCTCTTATCTGAGGTAGATTATCATTCACATTTAGGCTACACAACTATGAATAAGTATCGAAAGATTGAGGGTGAGGGTGTAGGTGAGGATGAAAATGTCAATAATAGGTATGCTGACTACGCAGTCTACACCCAAACCTCGTTGTTCTTGAACTCTTTCATGAATTCACCACAAACCACATGCAGCCGAAAAGATAATCTTTTGACTTTGGATATATTTTTCAGAACAACGACAACAACAACGGCAACACCAACGCGTCTAGGTATAGTATCCAGAATTGCTTGTTTGAACTTTCGGCTGATCTGACGTTGTTGCTGCGATATTCGCAGCAATCATTCTAAGATTTTACGAATTTTCGAGTATTTCTAGAGCTTAAGTAATGAATTATTATACTAACCTTGACTTTAGATGACCACAAAAACAGTATATATATATATATATATGTGGATAGAACAAAATACGTTTTTGTATGAAAAGGAAAATCAAATTTTCCAAAAGATAGAAATTTATTAGCGTGATCGGAAGGATATTTAATTACGTACAGACAGTTATCATTGTTGTCACTTTAAACTAGTTCGGCAACAAGCGAATGAATATTCAATGAAATAGAACGAATACTACAGTACTTACGATTGTCAAACTTCCATCAATGCACTGTCATCACAAGATGAGTAATACTGAGATTGTATTTCTTAAAGCTTAGTTTTACTTTTTAATCATATATATAAGATATTCTCCGTCTTGTAAATTAAATGAAATTGATCTACTTTTTTAATGCGTATCTTAGCAACCATAGTAATGTAGAAACTGAGGAAAAATAAACAAAAATAGTAGGAAAAAAGTAGTGTAATGAACGATGAGTCTAGTTTGTATTAAATGTTGAAATATTCTCCTGCAGAGTTCTAGAAACAATAATTACGTATAGTAGTGAACATTTCATGAAACGAAGCAGGTCTCGAAACGCCGCCGATCTGTCTAATTTTCAATATCAAAATTGAAAAGACAGAAAGATTGATACGAAAATCTTTGGTGCTAACGATGGACAACTGACAAGATCTGCTAGATTACACATTAGCATTTCTTTCGCATTAGCTGTAATAAAGTCAATTTTTGATCGAAATAGGCGTAATGATTCGTATTTTGACGTCTTTGAATAGCTGGAAAAAAGTTTATTTTATGATTTGAATACAGTATGAAATTATGAGCCGATATTCAAAGAATAAGTTTATCGTTGCAATGTGTATTTTTGAATAGGAAGCAAGATCAAATGGCCGCTTATATTAGGATTATCATTGTTGTCTCTACTGTTAGCTTGTTGTTGTTTCGGCTGTCTTACCTATTGGCTGTTGCGGTAAGTTTTTGTCTTTCACTTGTGTAGTAGAATCTGCCGACTTATCATATCATTTTCACCTTGCGGGGAACAGTGGAATCTATTGCATTTTGATTAGTTCCTTAAAACACGATTCTTGTATGAATTTTTTCCGACAAGTTTTGCCAAAATTTCGTTGAACATTTTCTAAAACTGATTTAATCTCATTCGGGGAAAACTATGTTAGAATTTCAATTGCATCGAGCTAATATAAACTCCGTATAGTTTGAAGACAGCGTTGGCAAAACGAAACAAAAACTAACAGTCCCACTAATCGGGCCATTCGGCTAAAGTTTACTATATAAGTCCCATGAAAAATGGACACTTAGGTAGCACTGATACCAACCAAACCAATAAACAATCACCTAACTATGAAATCTCTGAGTTTCATCAAGTTCTAAAATAGAAGAGGCTTGTTTCAATTCACGTAGTCGTTAATCAAGGAGAATTGATTTTGAAATAGGAAATCTGCAAGGCATCGTCACCAACAACAGAAAGAGAAACGTATTGATCATGATCTACCGTCTGTGGAACGCGTTGGGCAAAAAACACGTTATCGTGAATTGAATAAAAAAATTCGACTTACAACACCTAATGTCAACGATCATGCGTACGATTCAATCGACCTCATTAAGAACAGAGACAGTTACTTATCCATGACTAAAAGTCAAACAAGTGCAGAGATCAATGACATTCGTGTACAGGACGCTGAAACCCCTTTTGAAATTAGAAATGCAACGATTCAATCGCCAAATCATGTACAAGAAAATAATAGTGCATCAGTGAATCATCGTCCTGGAGTTGAAGTTTGTCGTGTGAGCCGAATGTCCAAGTTGTATGAGAGCAATGAAAGTCTAAGCAACACACAAAGATTAACTACTAACAAGCCAACAAGAACTGCATCAACATCACCGCGGAAGGCTAGTGGAACTACTGTTATTAAACTTCTACGAAACAAGAACGTCAGGGCTGTTAGTACCGATGCAAATTCGAATAAACTCGACGAGCAACGATATTGCGATGAAGCACTTTCAATTTCGACAAATAAAACAAATCAAATCTTGATCAAAAGTAGTAAATCAACAGCAGTAAAAACTGTCGATTCATCTCTGAAGGCCCAATCGCGACCGACCAGTCTTCGTGAAATTAGAGTTGTCAAAGTTCCAAAATCAATAATCACGAGCCCCGTTGTCATTGACTTGCTGAAAGAGTAAAATTTAACGTCAACACAATCATGTTAAATATTATGTAATGAACAATTCTTTAGCATCCGAACTTCCAAAACTCAGCTTCTTCAAACATTTTCAGTCTTTTATCAAAGAACTGTATGATCGGGTGGGTGATGGTGTTAGGTAGATTTAATACCAACACCATCACCCACACCCAATAAATAAAGTAGCATTTGACAAACTATTAGAAAAATTATTTAAATCATTTCGAAGATCTATTGATAAAATTGTTTGTACTAATATTTTTGTCGCTTGAGTTTTACAAGTACCACTGAATACTTGAGGGTGAGGGTGGGTATAAGAACGACGAGACATATTATACTCACACCTACACTCAAGATATGATATTTTTTATCATAGTTGGATATCATGTTAAATAGCTCATTATGTGTTCTTATGTGATGAGCGTACGATACTTTTTTTCCTTCCTCTAACTCTCACTGATTGTTCATATAGCCAGTGTTTCTTTCACTTCTGCTCATTCCCATGTGAAATTTTTTTGAGTGTAAACGCGTTTAAAACGCGTTTGGGATGCGTTTCAAACGCAAGGCACAAACGCATCCAGACGCGTCTTTCAGATGCGTTCAACCGCGTCTCTCTCTCAAAACGCGTCCACACACGTCCGAAGAGACGATGAAACATCTGACGGCATAAACGCGTTTGTTTTTCAAAACGCGTCCAGACGCGTTCGAAGAGATGGCTTTTTCCAAAAAAGCATTCTATTCCTACAGCTTTGACCTGCGTCACCATCATTCTCTCCTGATGTTCATCTCNCATTTCTAAAGGAGGATTTCGCGGGCAAATAATATCTTCATTGGCAAATGTAGGTTCAGTTATGAATTGATGAGAAGGTCGTAAATCTTCTTTTTCATCTGATTGATCGAGACATTCAAAATGAGGATTAATATTATCATGCAAAAATAACTTATCAATACATTGACCATTATCACATCGAAATTCATTATCATTACATTTATTTATTTCTAATTGCCAACAAGATTCTTCATCAGTACCATTTTCACAATCAATAATTCCATCACATATTTCAGTCCAATCAAGACAAGCTGCTGTTGAAAAACGATTACATTGCAAATGAGTATAACATGTCAATGAAGATGGTTCATATGGCTGTTGATAATAATCATGTATAATCTCATTTAATGTTAGATAAGTATCATTATAAAGATCAAATGAATATTGACAATATGGACCGAATCTAGGTAATGTACAATTATAAAAATATTGTTCTTCCGTGGAAAATGATGTTTGATTTGTAGTTAAACGTTGTTTCGTATATGAATAATAACGTTCAATTACATCGAATGGTGCTGACCAAAGATATAATTGTTCACTAGTAATATTTAATTGATAAAGGTCAGCAAAAGTAAATTTTCGATCAATATTATTTTCTTTTAGATTCCATTTTGATGAATATTCGTTCATACAAAAAGAAATTATTTGATAAGGGTCAATTTCTAGTTCATTCCAAGTAGCAACATGAAGACAATGGTGTTGTAAAGCAGAAACATTTCCGTACTCATTGATCGAATCAGTTAAATCAAGATTAATTTGTGGAAATGTAATTGTAAATGGAACAAAAATGAAGCAAAGGATGCCAACTAGAAGTAGCATATCATAAAATATTTTAGAAATGTGGAGACTAAATGCACAAAAGAGGCACACCAATGATGAGGACAAAAAACTTTTTCTAATTGCATATGCTAACTGATTAAATAAGCATCTGTCCATTAATTTGATCGTAATTATATTTCCAACGCATAATTTGATCGTAACTAAAAAATGCATAAAAAATGATTGTGTATGATTGTCAGTTAGTCGGCCATCGTGATCTCAACGATAACTTTTTTGATGATAGATCAATAGAATAATTAGCAAGAAAACTATCTATGAAAGAAATGAGTGCACAATTAAGAGTGACGAAAATAAACTATCGGTATCATGTAGTCATCATTATAATGCATAAGTGAAACTATGATATTTTCGTTACTGTTTTGGTTGCGTCTGCAATTGATAAGGAAACATCGCTACGTATGGATTCGAATCCTCAACACAGAAATCATTTGTATTCTGTTCTTTGATGATAATTATTTTCTTCTTTATTTCTTTTAGATAACACAAAGAGAAATATTTATGTTTTATATAGATTCTAGTTATCAGATAAAATAAATCTTCTACACACATATTGCTTCATTTTCATATAGTTTACAAAATATTTTTTAACAACTGTGAGGTTCTCGTTACACTCTAAAAAAAGGAGCTTTACCGAACCAAAAGGTTTCATATACTTCGACTGAACTATTTAAGTTCCGTAGCGTCGAGAAGGTTTGGCAATTGGTAGCAGAAACCATCCACAGGTTTTTCATGCGGTATGCGAAACCATTCGTAGTTCTGTAACATGTCTACAGAACCATCAGCGGTTTAGGAGTGTGACGATATGTTTCATCAATTTTCGAGAAGTTTATGACATTTTAAACTAAACTAGACTTGGTTTCGTGTGGAATAGTCATACATGGAATAGTCGAAACCAATAACAAGTTTGCAAATTCTTCAAAGCTCAGCACATTCAATACAAAACCCTGCTGCGTTTCGTATGTCTATCAAAGGTTCAGTACAACTTCTGCGGAAATATCAACAGCTTCGTACAGTAGTCGCAAGTTCGGTAGGATTTATTCAAAACTATCAAGGAATTCGGAGAACGGCTAACTGTTCAGCAGAGTTCATGCCAAAGTATCATTGGGTTTGTATATTAGTCAGAGGTTTGAAAAAATATACGCTAGACTATGATGAGCTCTGTATACTTTTGATTAATTCAGTATAACTTTTGGAAGAAAATTGTCTACTCCGTCGAATGAGTGATGAGTATTTGTACCAAACTATCCCTAGTTTCGTTTAGCGGCTCTAGGTCTCCCATAATTTACTCGTATATACAAATACATTTTTGTACTGATCAGTACTTAGATATAAGTTCCAAAATCAATCAATGACCTCCAGTATTGTCACAGAAAGTGCATGATGTTTTGCAAGGCAGCAGTGTGTAATCTTGGAATGCGTGATATACTCTGTAGTTGTTAAGCTTATGATAAGATGAAAAAGATCAAATGAGTTTTACTATGCTATGAATTATTGTAACATTAAAGAAAGCTGCGAAGACGAAAAAGAGAAAGATGCATTGAAAGGTTTTATGAATATCGATATAATAATTCGCGAGAACAGTTTAGTTGTTTTTTTTTACGAGTTTCTTGAGCCGTTGGATATTAAGGTTATCATGGCTTGATCTTACACGCATTTGTAGCAATATGGTGGCTAAAGTGTTGAAGAAGTAATGAGGACAAATCAGTGAAAGTATGGATTTGTTTTGAGATGTTGGTACTTACGACTACAAGATGAGGTTTGTCAATCGCGTGCTGTTGGGTAGTATTTTGATTGACCGTGAATCCTGGGAGAGTATTTCTGGTCGCTCCGTCTGTTGGCTGACGAATTAGGAACGACAGGTAAAGTGTGTCTTGTTCTTCTTCTTTTGGCCGCTCTACAATCATAAATGATGACTATTACCAAAAGAGTTCACGAAAGGAAAGAACTGAGCAAGTTAGATGCGTCTATTCACTTCTGGATTGAGTTGACTTTGACGTATACTGTACTGGTTGACGGAGCTTTCAACAGTGAACAAGAGAATACACGACGATGGTTGTTATCGAGAATAAAATCAGAGTAATCAGTAGAGTGACAGGTGGTGAATTGAAGTCGAGTGATTTAGCAACTGGGAGCTGATCTGTTCGTTAGGGATAGTCAGAAAACACATTGAATGCTTTTTCTTTTCGATCTGTTTCGAGCTCTGTATTGACTGCCATATTCCAAACTAGATTATTTAATCGAGCACATACTAGGTATTTGTGGCAACGTCGCCATTGTGGCTGTTATGTCAGAGTTCACCCAGTTGATCGCATGAAATATATTGGTGCCCAAACCAGCAATCTTGCACATTTTTTTCTGTAGAACTGGCACGGATTCGTTCGTGTAAGTCGATTATTTGGACGAGGAAGTACTGATTGAAGCCATTCACTGTTTTCTACTTTGGAATGACCTGCAACGTAGGGTAATGTATAGCGTAGTATCATTGGATTATGATATACTCGAGTATACAGCTCAACCTTTCGATTCTCAATATAAACATTCAAATAATGAATGTTGGATTGTTTTTGTAACGACTCTAAACATGTTTGATGTTACATAGAAGATTTATTCAATCTGAAAAAAATGTGATCGTTGTGTCTAAAAGATAGCGATGATTATACCGAGTAACAGATATAGCGAACAAGAATACCAATTACTTTCTGTAGAGTTCTTGTTTATGTTCCAATTGACTCAGTATTGGCTTTTGCCCATCATATAGATAAATATTCGCCGAAGTGTCATTTAATGACATTGTTTGAAAACAACCTCTTCTGATGATGTAGATTTTACTTTCATACAAAAAAAGATTATGATAAAGAAATAATTGTAAAAGATTTTCGATTCTGTTAATTGAGACTTTGTTGACTTTATTGTATGCTGATTTATCTCGTATGAAAGCAATGACAGTAGCAATCATTGCACAATGTACATCCAACGAATAAAAATTACGTAGTATTATAACAACCATGAGAGGGAAAAATAAAGAATTGATGAACTTATAGTCTGTCAGTTCGATGATATAATTGCATAACAGCAGACAGTGCAAAATGTGTTCCAAATGAAAACTGATTGATTATGAAAGAATGACTTGCCTACATAGCTAAAACCGAAGAACCGATTTAACCTTATAGACCAAAGTTTAGTATGCACTTTTTCCGTTCTCTTGTAGAATATATAACTGTCGTAGAAGATACTATTTCATTCACTGAGATCCAATCAGATGTTTTTATCATGTGTATACTCTCAGACATATCGTCTCAATATCGCAGAATTGGTAAGAAAGAATTGTTCGAAGAAACCTTTGATTAATAACTTCTTTTGTTTTCTGTTGTCTGTGTACCATTATTTTGAGTCGATTTTATGCTTAGAGAAAATTGATTAGATAGGAGATCGTGGCTACGTATCACGGTAATTAGCTTTGAAAGTCTTTTCAGTGCGAAATTCAACTCAAATCTAAAGGTCTATACTACAAGATAAAAAAATTCCAATGTATACTATCGTTCATTTGAGAACTTTTGAGAAGCGAGTACGTTGCCTGATGTGTTCATACTTAAAATAGAATATTTATCACACACGAAATGTGCTTAATTATCCACAAGAATAAAACTATCCTGACTGCATTATTCTCTATTTTTCAATTAACAAAACCCTTTGATTATCTAAATTTATACTAAAAATCTTCGACTAGGATAATTTTTGTTAGAAATTGAATGACAAGCGTCTACACAGAAGAGATATCAAGGGAAAAAAACACCGCCGACATTATCGTTAGTAGTGTGCGCCTCAAAACTTTTGAGAAACTACACATACACTTTCCATACTAACAATTATTATTAAATGCGTCGTTCATTTATTTAGGTTTTAAGGAGATAAATAGTTTCTACAATGACATTGAGTATTATCCTCTCAACAATTCAAACGCAAATCAGTCGTTATTTTATTTCAACAGCTTTAGCATTTGGTATAATTGGATCTTTACTAAATATCTTACTCTTCTCCCATAAACGATATCGAAATAACTCATGTTGTATTTGTAAAGACAGTATACTGCCTATAGTTCAGTATTCATAACTTCTTTTTATATCATAGATTTTATAACAGCATCAATTGGAATGCTTGTTGCAATGTGCTTCGGACTGGTGCCTAGTATCTATTCAGTAGATCATCCCAATCCGGCAAATACAATAAATGCAATTTGTCAATTGCGCAACTATTTTGGTCAATGTGGTACGATGACATATCGATGGTCACTAATTATGGCTTGCCTTGATCGATATGCTTCATCATCATACAGTGTTCGTTTGCGAGCATTTGCTAAATCACATATTGCTGTTCGTGTTTCATTAACCATTGCAAGTATATGGATCATAGTGCCTATACATAATTTCATATATCTTAATATCATTGATGGTCAATGTATATGGTTTCCAGCCGGCTCTGCGATCTACAACAGCATGATGATTGTTGTAGCAGGTGGACTAGTTCCAATAACAACCATGATTACATGTGGAATACTTATTCGAAATAATCTCAAACACAAACGTGAAATTCGTCGAAGTAAAGTTCAATCAATGAAGGAGAATGCAAGAGATCGACAAACTTTGATCATGCTAGTTATACAAATCATTTGTTATATGATATTAACATTACCGTGTGTATTAAATGTTATCTATAGTGCTTTTACATTCTATGTTGCAAATAAGACCAATGATAGAATAGCTATCGATTCATTTCTTGAGTTTATGAGTGAAGCCCTTGCATATACATATTCAACATCATCATTCTATTTGTATACATTATCATCACCTTCATTTCGTGAGCATTTCATCAAGATTACATATTCCATTTTCAAACGTCTTAATCAATACCATACTCGTTTTCATCGTATAGCACCATCAATTTAAGAACATAAAAGATTGATTATTGAAATGAACTTTTAATAAATTTTAGATGAGAAATGTAACAAATAAGATTACTTAAATAAATCAAACATATTATATACGAGAAGTGTATCTTATTCATTAAGAAATATTTTCTTTTCAGTTAAAATTTTTTGATAGAAAAATACCTCATTAGTTACACATGAGCTATTTTTAGTATTTCAAGTGATTATCCAATTAAGAGATTGGCATGCGACGACTTGAAAAAATACTTTTTTTGTACTTTATTGCATGTCTCAAACCGTGATGGTATATGAGATGATTTGGGGGAAAGATTAAAATTTTTGTAGGACACACTTAGTTGCATATTTGCAATTATTTCCCATCTATTTATCATTCATCTTACTTGAAATTAAAAAACAACAACAATAAAAGTACATCAATGATGTTTCGAGAAAAACTATGATGATTTTTGGTATAATAAGTGTTGTTATCTTCTTTTCATTTCGATTATCAATGATTCGTAATGAATATAATTCTAACTACATCGCCGCATTTATTACTGATCAGATTAGTTCGAATCACTCTGGCGCTTTTATTTGAAATTCTTCCGATATGTATTGAATTATGAAGTGATAAATAGTTAGACGAAAATATATTAATTTCAAAAATATTTCGTGTTGGGTTAAAATAAACCACTGTAACATGTTCGATATTCGATTTTATTCGGCTAATATAAAAATAAATATATATATATAGGTTGCAAATGTGAATATTAGCATTAATTAAACAGAAATACATACAGCCACTCTCGTACTCACAAAAGGACGGCTAGCACTTTTGTCGGCACATATATGATCATCCAGAGGGATTATAAAAAGAATGTCATAATGGAAATCAGTACAAAAACAATAAGAATAATAATTGCAAATATTGTCATCTGCAGACAAAGGTTGAAATGTGTTCATCTTGAGGGTGAAGGAGTGGGCGATGATGGAAGTTGAATAGTTTAAAACTCGATTACTCGAATTCTAAACTGAAATATTCAGAATTCGAACGAAAGTTTTAATACTAGAATCGAGTTAACGATTTCTACACTACTAAAGTACATAAATCTATGAATAGCCTCATCAGCAGATGGATACATTCTTATGACTTCAGAAACAAACATATCTAATTCAAACTGAAAAAAGCACAAAAGTTAACAATATTCAACAAAGAACAACATGTTGCCTGTACGAAGAAATTAATACGAAGATTTGGTGCAAGAAAAAATGGCTCGAAACGAGAATGGAACAAAATCCTTAAGATCGATTTTTCAGGAATATTTACAATTGTCGCTTTCATAATAGCAAAAGTGATGTAACTTATACTAATTTAAGAGAAACAACGGTATTAATATATCCAGATAGCGTAATGCTTTGGGATGCAATTTGTACGAGGGTTTGATACATCACAATGGCCTTTTCCATATTTCTGAATGGTTACGAGATCAACGTCCAAACGGTAAACATAAAAGAATGCATATGACTGGCGAATTGTATGCTAGATTTTTATGTGTAGAAGCCATTCTGGCACTTAATTAAGTCGTACATTTGGATGAAGTCATTTTGCAAGATGATCAAGACTCAAAACATAGAACGCAAGTAGCTATGGATGTTGCTTGTGATCTTTTTGAAGGAATGATTTACCCAAATGATAGAGATGTCCAATTTGTGGGTGTCTGGCCTGTTGGAAACATTTGCGGAATTACGAATGAGCAAACAAGAGCATCTTGATGGAGTGGATGCAGTGATACTGAATACTTGCACGCGCACATTCACAATCGCACTCAGCCTCGAACCGATGCTTACCTGTTTCATCTCTTTGCAAGCTTCATAAAGATTGACAGCACTCCTTAGGCTTTAATCAAATTTTTATGCAGAATTTCCTGTAATTACTTTTTTTACTGGGTTCTATTGAAAATAAATTTGTGACGTGAGCATCGCGTTGATTAATTTTATTCATATAATATTCTGCAGTCTATCTCATGCATGTACTACTTTTGTGTGCTTTGCATACATAGAAGAAACAAAAAACAATAACTTTCATACATTATTAAACCACTCCGTAAAAAAATCTTCTTTCGATTATAGAAAAATAGTGTAAGAAAAGTCTATACAAAGAATAATGTAATCATACATGAGCAAAATCATCAGCAACGAGCAAGAAGAAGTGACCAGTTTTTCTCTCTAAATCCCGAATGTATGTATCTTGCTTCATTTCATATCTTATGTTAAGCATGAGATATGAAGTGAAGCAAGCAATAACTGGATATTTTATACTTGTAGTCGTCCAATCACTAATTATCGTACACGATTCCTGTGTGAGTATTTTAATTTCTTCTCTTCATGAAAACTAGCTACAAACTAGACCTTTCGTTTAGTTTTCTTTAGGACGGAGAAAGAAAATAGAGAAACGACCTACAGATCATAAAACGTTTTCTGTTTGCAAGAAAACCACTAATTCTCTTTGAAAACTATAATAACAGCCTTTTTCTATGCCAGAAATAAGAGTGTGATTGGTATCGTTTGGGAGCAATGAGTCTAATTACGACAAGACGCCGTTGATGTTTTTCAATCGGCCTTACCTATGGTGCACACGTGCAATTTATCTGATAGTGCTGTACATGTACCCAATAGCTTTTGTCATGAAAAATGGACAGATAGTGCTGCACAGCTGAGCACCACAAACGGAACAGTTTTTAGATCGAGCAGTTCATCGCGAAGATGATCAGTACAAATATATGTTCTTTAATTTTTTTAGACTAATCATTGACGTCCTTGAAGGCCCTAACGGGTACAATGTATGAGGTAAGATTAGAGAATACGAGAAGCAAATATGAAAATAGAAATGAAAAAAGTTTCATAATGACATCACATGAGATTGATTAGGGTATTTGTATTTTTACAACTAAGGAAAAGTGGCAAGACAAACAGATAAACATAAGGAAGGAAAAGCGAGACTTCAGAATTGAATACTTCATCTTACTTCAAATACTGCATGAAGTAGATGAAGTCTCGTTTTTCCCCCTTACATAAACATCAATCCAAGGGCAGTGACGATATTTTATATAAAAATAGCTACGATGCACCAAAATCAATGTAATTCATGACTTTAAAAGGCCCAGATAGTCATAAGATAGGGAAGAATAACAACCATATCGACAAAGTAATCAGAGCTCAATGCTATCATAGGAGAAAAATGATGAGAGAGAAGAAAGAAAAAATGATTGCACATCGCACATTACCATAAAAGTGTTTCTGGGAATTCACATGATACCGCTCTTGTCCCTTAACCAAATGTTTCTTAAAGCATTAAGATTACTCTTTTACGGTGCTAATTTTCCGTTCATCTCGAGAGCAATTGTGGGATGAGTAATCAGTATTGTTATTATTAATACCTTCACCCACACCCACACCCTCAAAAAACTTATTCTTGCTTCGCTTTTTTTCGCAATGTAAACGACGACTTTTAACAAGTTCGACAAAGAAATATCATATATGCTTTTTCAGATGTTCCTTCTTTGAAATATGATCGAAATGATTCATATATTAGTAATTGCTTGGCAATGTTTTTTTGTCATCGAGAGCATTCACTTCAATGGCGGTACGATTCGGTGGGAACCTGTTGATCCCCAAACCAATTCAAGCCTGGTTGCAATTAATATCATACAATCATATTCTTGGAGCTATCCGACGATACGATGTGCAAACGATGTACCAATTTCCACCAGTGGTCGAAGTGGTACGAACAGCAATCTAACATGCGTTGTTGACTGTTCAAGCGATGGCGGCTATTCAGCGAACCCAGTGAATATTTTAACTGATTGCGTTTCGACTAATCCGTCGCTAGGCATGATGACTAGTAAACGATCAGTCAATACAACACTCATAGCCGATGCACACTTCTACATATCGTATCGAGGAAGTGCTTGGCAGACTATAGGAAGTCCGCCACAAAGGGATCTTTACTGGTCAATTGTATGTTTCATTGACCTTCGACGACGATCAGATGGTATCATAAACACCCCACCCGAAGCGAACGTCATTTCACCACAATATGCCATCGTGAACAGGACCACTCAAATTCAAATACCCGTGTCAGACGTCAATACAGGTGATGATTTACGGTGTCGATGGTCAGTGTATGTGCCTGGAGTTCGAAGACGGAGACAATCAAATGCAGACGAAAATCTATATGACCGATCGGCTCATCAAATGTATAGAAAAATAGACGGAGACGGAGAAATTCCTCATATTAGAAAAAAAAGAACATGTGGTGGTGGTTATACATGCTCTGGTTCCATGTGTAATTATCAATGCTGTTGCTCCAGTGCATCTTGTCCCTCAGCACCTAGCTGTACGGGTCAGAACTGTAACTCACCTTCTGGTTGTCCGATTGTAACAACAACTACGACAGAATCAACAACAACTACGAGAACATCAACAACAACTACGAGAACATCAACAACAATAACAACAACCGAAAGTATGACTACCGTTGAAACCGCAGGAACGTTACCAGTCACTAGCTCGTATCCAATACGCCAGGCCATTGACGAATGTGGCGGTATTTGCTATCCGAATACGGTACCCGTTGGTACTACTTTGTCAAACTGCACACTAACATTTACAGGACTTATACCAAACACTTGGTATGCTGTTTCAATTCAAGTAAGCGAAGCTGAAATGTATAAAGAGAAGGAGAAAGAAGTCGGGAACGCCTAATTCTAATATATCATGTGTCCTGCAAAACTATATATGAACTAAAATATCAATAGATATTTCAATTTTCGATGAGTCTGTAGAATATACAGGATTCTCTCTCTTCACCAATAAGACTTTCGTTAGTTATTGACTAAAGTTGAGTGACATCATTAAAATATACTCACATATGTGCAGTAAGTTTATGTTTAAATATGACTGCATCAAATTTTGAAACACAACATGTTGGAGTAAATAAGAAACAATCCTAGAATAAGCAACAAAAATTAATGTAAGAAACGCTGGAATAAGATAAGTAAAGAATATAATTCGAATGTTTTAATCAGAATCTGTTATTGAACTTGACGGCGATGATGTATTAGATTTTGAAATGTTATTTGTACTTTTCTTTTCTTCTGCGGCCAACTGATTCATCGACTAGATATGTAAATGATATTACTATATCAATCAATGATCTTCTATCTGACTGTAAAAATTGAATAGTTTCTCGGCTTGTTTAGTTTTACATGCTGCTCCATGAGTTACGACAGGCATTACATAAAGTCATGACGATGATATAGACGAATATTATCTGAGTATAATAGATAGTAATCTATTTACTCGATACCAGATTTACTGTCATATAAATGAAAGGTCGATAAAGTTTCGCCAATGGCGAATATCCGACTTGTGTAAATCTTATTGAAGAAGCTCCTACCACTCAAATATACAGCTTCTTCGTTGTAGACCATGCTCAAACGCTGTAAAATTATAAATCTTAATTCCCAATGAAATCTTCATGAAGAGTCCATAACAGAAAAGACGTAAAGAAATTTTTCTAACTATGATATTTTATATGACAGATGTCCATTGCGCTTGAGAATATGCCGCGCCGCGATCGAAATCTTTTACGATCAACTATCATTTTAGAAGAAAATATAGAAATTGATATAAAAACTGTTTCAAAAGCTTAGAACGAGACATAAATATATTTTGAGGTTAAGACACTCTTGTAGATCATAGAACAAATCAGTTAAATATTGAACTGATTCATGAGAGCAGCAATTTGTGTTAAATCAAACGTTGCATTGTCTCTTGGTTGGGACATCTGGTCGTTAAGGAATAAAGAAAAATAGACTGCTGCTGCCGCGACGCACCATAATGATCAGAGAAAATAAAGTATCAATACCACCACCGGCGCGATGGAATCTCTATTTCATACCGATTTATTGATTTTCTGAAAATACATTGGAGTCGAAATCTGCACGACTTGTATTCTAAGAAGTTCTTCAATAAAACGACCATTTTCAGCCTTTTGTATGAATTTTTTAGACGAGAGCACTATAAAAATCTTAACTACCAAAGGAATTGTGTTCGTGAATACTATTTGATCTGTGCAGTATCACACGCGTTAGTTAGGTTTTCAGAGTAGGTAGGGAACGACAGTTCTGAAATATTATGTGTCAAGTCCCAAAATCCGAACACGTATTAGTCAATTAGAATAGCTAGGCATTTTTTGGAAATTCTGCAAGCCGAGCAGAGCAGTTATTCTGGATCGATGGTTACCAGAGAGTTTACGTTTCTATGTAGTGCCATTCATCTTAAGGATTTCCTCCCTCTCACAGGAACCGAATTTTTCAAAAGAATGGAAATTGAGTTTTTACATCGAAAGATGCGCCGAAGCTTTCTGTTTCCGAGTATATGTCGTTTTTTTGTAAAACCATCAAGTTTTCACAGATTTATCGGGAAAATTTCAACACTTCCGTAATGTTTTTCGAGTCATCTGCGTGATTTTTCGACTTTTTTACAAGTCTGAATAAACTATCTTACTATATGAATCTGTATTGAATAGAATGACTTTGTATTTAACACTAAGCACTTACCAATACTCAAGATAAAGGTTATATATTTATTTTATCATTAATACTGAATATTTAAAGTTTAAGTGTATTGTATAAGAATCTATTTTGAAAAGCGAAGTTTCTTGAAAACTAAATTTTTAACCTGTTCTCAAATATTCCACTAATCTAATGTTGATCGATTTGCATCAGAAATAAGATAATTGATAATGTGTTACAGCTGAAAGATCATAAGTAGCGTTTCAGTCATGGTTACCGAACACTTTCAATTTTTTTAATTTAACAAAAAAAACGCGATGAATCTTAATATCCAGAAAATACAGTAGTGTATAAATATGTACTATCTTGAAAGTGTGGGTGTAGCATATGAGAAAATGGATTAACCGCTTGCTGATTCGATTACGAAATGAATACGTGTGTATTGATTTAAAAATTAGATTGATCTCATCACGTATTGTAACAAACACCTAGCTGATACGAATAAAAGCTTTGTACAGATTGACAAATTTTTTTCCCTTCCAGAACAATTTGTCCATTTTCCATATTCTCATTCTATGACTATTGTGTTGAATGGGTTGGAAAAAGTAATAAAAAGTACGGCACAATACTAAAATATATAATCTAGAAGTTTTCGCACCAAACACAATAACATGCACATATATCATTCCTTTGCAGGTTGAAGATTTTATCAACTCCACCAGTATGATTCCTATGAGCTCAGTTCCAGTTCAATTTCTGATTTACGTCATGCCGACACCAAACTGTTCCATAGCACCGACTATTGTGCCACTGGATGGTTGCCTCGAAGTAGCAGCAAGCGTTATGAAAAGCTTCAATATATCTGTAATCAATAGATGTAACCCTTTCATCTCGAATGTCAGTAGTGTTGTTGTATCAAAAGGAGTTACTGGGATGCAAGTTAGCAATATAACACAATCATCAACAAATGTATCCATGGTCTATACTACATTCACTTGGACACCGGAAACAAATCAACTTGGTCAGCAACAATTGTGCATAATAGCTGTCACTGAGTAAAGCTGCTTTTATCTTATCTAATGATTATTGCATCGTACATTTTTCATCATTTTAGTGAGATGGTACAATCTGCGGAGTATTGTGTTATATTCACTGTAATAGCTTCATCTTTTCCATGTGTGACAACAACGACTAGTACAACGACATCATCAACCAGTAGTACTACAACCACATCGACAAGCTCGAGCACCACATCAACTTCAACCACAGCAACTACGACTACAACAACGACATCATCGACCAGTAGTACTACAACCACATCGACAAGCTCGAGCACCACATCAACTTCAACCACAACAACTACGACTAGTACAACGACATCATCAACCAGTAGTACTACAACCACATCAACAAGCTCGAGCACCACATCAACTTCAACCACAACAACTACGACTAGTACAACTTCAACATCAACTTCCACAACAAGCACAACAACGACTACAGTCACTACGACGTAAGTTTAATTGTAACTGAAATTGAAAACATCGATAGGGCTCAAATTTCTTTCGTGTCAATGTTCTCCTTCACTGTTCTCGATGAAGAAATACTGATTCATCATCATTTCTACATAAAAATGAAACACAGCTCTTAATTTTAATAGAAAAGCTCTTATCTGAGGTAGATTATCATTCACATTTAGGCTGCACAATTATGAATAAGTATCGAAACATTGATTGAGTAGTGTGACTAACTAGTCTATATTATAGACTGTGATAACTATGCTAACATACTACTTTCAATTTTTGTACGACGAAATTTTATAAATCAACTTCAGAATTACTTATTATTTCTTGTACTTATATTCTTGAAGTGCAAGACTAGTCGATAGTTTTCTTGTCACATGTAATTTCTTGACATTGTTTTTTTACTTCGACCTTTATACGAACCTAATATACTGCAAAACAGGCTCAGGGCAATGTCACAAAATTTAGAGAAAAACAACCTAGAAAACTTCATAGACTCGGACGGGATAGAATAATCTCAATCTTGTCGATTCAGCACATTATATCACCTTCATCTGCTTTATCAAGATACTTAAATTCAAAGACTGGCAGTAGTTGTATAAGTCGTGAATGTGGGTGCGTTAGGGTGCGGGTGAGGATGAAAATCTCAATAATAGGTATGCTAACTACTCAGCCTACACCCGCATCTCGTTGTTCTTGAATTCTTTCATGAATTCACCACAAACCACGTGCAGTCGAAAAGATAATCTTTTGACTTTTGATGTATTTTTCAGAACAGCGACAACAACAACAACAACGACGACGACGACAACAACGAGTATAGGTATAGTATCCAGAAGTGCTTGTTTGAACTTTCAGCTGATCTGATGATGTTGCTGCGACATTCGTGGCAATCATTCTAAGATTTTACGAATTTTCGAGTATTCCTAGATCTCAAGTAATGAATTATTATACTAACCTTGACTTTAAATGACGATAAAAACAGTACATATATATATATATATACGTAGATAGAACAAAATACGTTTTTGTATGAAAAGGAAAAACAAATTTTCCGAAAGAAGGAAATTTATTAGCGTGATCGGAAGAACATTTAATTACGTACATACAATTATCATTGTTGTCACTTTAAACCAGTTCGGCAACGAGCGAATGAGTATCTAATGAAATAGAACGAAAAGTACAGTAATTACGATTATCAAACTTCCATCAATGCACTGATCTAAACATATCGTGTTGTTGTAAGGTTGAGACCATGTATCATCACAAAATGAGTAATACGGAGATTGTATTTCTTAGAACTTAGTTTCACTCTTTAATCATATATAAGATATTCTCCGTCTTGTAAATTAAATGGCATTGATCTACCTTTCCAATGCGTATCTTACCAACCATAGTAATGTAGAAACTCATGAAAAATAAACAAAAATAGTAGGAAATAAGTAGTATAATGAACGATGAGTCTAGTTCGTATGAAGTGTTGAAATATTCTCCTGCAGAGTTCTAGAAACAATAATTACGTATAGTAGTGAACATTTCATGAAGCGAAGCAGGTCTCGAAACGCCGCCGATCTATCTAATTTTCAATACCAAAATTGAAAAGACAGAAAGATTGATTCGAAAATCTTTGGTGCTAACGATGGGCAACTGACAAGATCTGCTAGACTATACATTAGCATTTCTTTCACATTAGCTGTAATAGAGTCAATTTTTGATCGAAATAGGCGTAATGATTCGTGTTTTAGGTTCTTTGAATAGCTGGAAAAAAGTTTATTTTATGATTTGAATACAATATGAAATTATGAACCGATATTCATAGAATAAGTTTATCATTGCAATGTGTATTTTTGAATAGGAAGCAACATCAAATGGCCGCTTATATTAGGATTATCATTGTTGTCTCTACTATTAGCTTGTTGTTGTTCCGGCTGGCTAATCTATTGGCTGTTGCGGTAAGCTTTTGTCTTTCACTTGTGTAGTGAAATCCGCCGACTTATCATTTTCACCTTGCGAGGAACAGTGGAATCTATTGCATTTTGATTAGTCCCTTAGAACACGATTCTCGTATGAATTTTTTCCGACAAGTTTTGCCAAATTTCGTTGCACATTTTCTGAAACTGAGTTAATCTCATTCGATGAAAACTATGTCAGAATTTCAATTGCATCGAGCTCATCGAAACTCCATATAGTTTGAACACAGCGTTGGCAGAAAAAAACAAAAACTAACAGTCCCACTAATCGAACCATTCGGTTAGAGTTTATCATATAAATCCCCAGGAAAAATGGATACTTAGGTAGCACTGATCTCAACCAAACCAATAAACAATCACCTAACTATGAAATCTCTGATTTTGATCAAGTTCTAAAATAGAAGAGACTTGTTTCAATTCACGGAGTCGTTAATGAAGGAGAGTCGATTTTGAAATAGGAAATCTGCAAGACATCGTCACCAACAACAGAAAGTGAAACGTACTGATCATGATCTACTGTCTGTGGAACGCTCGGGACAAAAAAAACGTTATCGTGAATTGAATAAAAAAATTCGACTTACAACACCTAATATCAACGATCATGCGTACGATTCAATCGACCTCATTAAGGAGAGAGACAGTTACTTATCCTTGACTAAAAGTCAAACGAGTGCAGAGATCAATGACATTCGCGTACAGGACGCTGAAACCCCTTCTGAAATTAGAAATGCAACGATTCAATCGCCAAATCATGCACAAGAAAATACCAGTGCATCAGTGAATCGTCGCTCTGGAGTTCAAGTTTGTCGTGTGAGCCGAGTGTCCAAGTTGTATGAGAGCAATGAAAGTCTAAGCAATACACAACGATTAACTGGTGACAAACCAATAAGAACTGCATCAATGTTACCGCAGAAGGTTAGTGGGATTACTGTTATCAAAGTTCCACGAAACAAGAACGTTAGGGCTGTTAGTGCCGATGCAAACTCGAATAAACTCGACGAACAGCAACATTGCGATGAAGCACTTTCAATTTCGACAAATAAAACAAATCAAATCTTGATCAAAAGTAGTCAATCAACAGCAGTAAAAACTATCGATTCGCCTCTGAAGGTCCGATCTCGACCGACCAGTCTTCGTAAAATTAGAGTTGTCAAAGTTCCAAAATAAATAATCAAGAACCCCGTTGTCATTGACTTGCTGAAAGAGTAAAATTTAGCGTCAACACAATCATCTTAAATATTATAGAATGAATAATTCTTTCGCATCCGAACTTCCAAAACTCAGCTTCTTCAAACATTTTCAGTCTTTTATCCAAGAACTCTATGATCGTGGGTGAGAGTGTTAGAGAGATGTAATACCGACACCAACGTTCAATAAATAAAGTAGCATCTGGCAAACGATCAGAAAAATTATTGAAATCATTTCGAAGATTTATTGATGGAATTGTTTGTACTAATATTTTTATTGCTTGAGTTTTACAAGTAACACTGAATACTTTTTCGGATCTAGCAATTGTTCTTCCTTTAACATACCAATTCCAGGGTGTGGGAGTGGTTGGGTGTCGGTGTGAGTGAAGATGTAAGGTTGAGCTAATGCAAAACTCGAGCAAATTTTTTTAGTGAATTTTTTAATGGAATCCGATGCAGTTTGATGCGCTGCATCCGAATTTGTATGATTTATTTAGATAAAAAGTGTTCTTCATGCTGAAAATCGAGGGTTTCAAAAAAACAGATTTTCTACCTGGATTTTGATATGACTTCGAAAAAATTTACTATAGCTTTCAAAGTTTTTTCTTCTGATTCAGCATTGAAAACTGATTCTAGGACGCTACTTTTTGATCGCTCAGTGCATATCTTTATCATTAAAAAAATTGATTTCTCTTCACAAATCGATTGGTCGAGTGAGCCTCATTAAAAATGCATAAACTCATTTTCTAATTAAGATATAGACGTTTTTCTTTCACCGTTCGACTCCATAGATCCCCTAGATATAATCTACGTATTATCTTTCCTTAACTCACTTTCTTTCTCAATATGTCCTTGGTATTTCGCGACGTCTCCTGTCATACATGTGTTTTTTATGTTTATCAGCATTTTTCACGCTGTTTTTGTTTTCTAATGAAATCTTATGTTTATAATGATACAGATCTTTATGTTAGTCATTTAGATAATATATCAAACCACTTTTCAAATATTGGTCGACATGTTCGACTTTACTTTGAAGTGATATTTTCAGTTAAGCTTTAAAGAAATATTAGTAATAGCAGATCCAATTAGTTTGAAAGAAATTATGTTTTCGTATTTACTAAATAGTGATAATAAAATATATTTTAACAAAAAAAAGGAAATAGATCACTGCATAAATGTGTTAAACAATAGAATCAGTTGTTCAAGTTCGAATTAATAATTTGACGATGTGAAACGACGTTAGCTTTGCACATTGAACTGAAATACATCTTGAGAACATCTTCATAAGAATCACCACGTTCGTAAGCAGCTAAAGTACGCCAAAATCTCCTGATTAATTTCAAAGAAACATTTTTCTCAATGAAATTTATTCTTGATTTGTTAATTAATTTGAGCATCGTGGGGGGTATGTTTGGTCTGTTCAACGTCGAACGAATTGTTATTGGTGTGCCCATAATCCTTCTATAGGATTTCACTCGCAAAGGAACTTCGGCGAGAAACTAACCGCGACATCATAGTCATTAGCAACCCTCTCTAATTTTGAAATCTAAAACCTACGTAATAGATTACCATATCAGTAGTTTAAAAGATGATTATCATTAACAGAAAGCTTACGTTCTTGAGTGCATCCTGTGAATTTAGAAATTTTTTCAGCTCTTCTAATCGTATATTAGATGGAATTTTAATACCAAGTTCTTTTGTCAAGATGAGTAGGCCTTTTGATTGTCCTTTGTTGCTGCTAGTTGTAAAAAAAACAGTCGATAGATTCCTTTTTACCATCTTCATCTCTGTAGAATATTTTATCAGTTTAACAACGCGTACCAGGCTTCATTCCAAAATTTTCAACCATACTGATAAATAACAAGAAATACAACGTCGACCGATGATAGAAAATGAAGCAGATACAAGCAATTTTTTTAAAGAAAGTTTTCACTAAGTATTAATCCTAGGTTTCATGTTAACGAATGCGCGTGCCTATGGATAGTATACGAGCGAATAGATAAACTGAAATATCTTTGTGAGACTGATGTGTAACGAGGCCACTAGGTATTGATACGATTCCATACAGCACAGACCCAGGATGATCGTTCCTGGAAGCAGTATTCCACTTATTTCCGGCGAAAACCCGCAGGATATTCATAGTTTCCGCGCTGGAAACCACGAGAAAGTACTCGGAATCCTACCGAAGGAACCGGTAACCGTATCCGACTATCGGTTATGGCGGGTTCTTGCTGGTTCCGGATAAAACCTTTTAAATCTGATGAAAGGATCTGATCGCCGGAATACTGCTTCCATGAAATCCGCGGAAGGTCCTGGAACTGGTCGGTTCCGGGCCGNCATAAGACCTTTCAATTACAAGTCTACTTACTTAGGCCATTGCACTATACTGGCTTATATAAGAACAAGTTAGATTTCCCTTTTAAGAAGATAATTCGTCTAGGACTTATCTCAAATGAAATGAATCTTACCAAAATTCATGACTATATCTGAATATTAATTAATAATTCGTACTTCAGGTGTTTTTCTAACGACGAAACTCAGATTATTCTCTATTGAATCAGAAAGATAAATCAACTTTCTTCCTATTCTCATTTAAGAAGAATAATGCGATGTCCTAGTGAAATCTTTGTTTGTTGAGTGAGGAATTATTTCAATATGAATTGTTAATAATTTTGATCCTCAGCACGGCTTTGGGGAATAAAATATTGCTTATCTCTATTCCTGATCAATCTAATGAGCGAGTCTTAGCGATGGCAGCAGATTTTGTTCATGCTTTTGATGAACTGTTATTTTCCATTATCTCTTTACTTATATTAATGGTTCTGTTTTTCAATTGAAAACCTTTCAGTTCTTTTCATGAGTTACAATGAGAACAGTTGACGGAAAGTCATATGGAACGAACAGGCTAAGAGGTTTCACACAAAAAGATACAATTTAGTACAGGAAATGATCGAAGTTTTTAAAAGAAGGTACTGTGGAAAATGCATTTTCAATGATTCGAATGGAAGAGTTTGTCATTTCAGACGCGTTTGAACGCATCAATTGCCGAAAACACACATAAACGCGTCTGGACGCGTTTATATGATGCGCCTGGTCGCGTTTCTTAGGATCTATTGCGTTCAGACGCGCTTATAGGATGCGTCTAGACGCGTTTCTTAATTCTATCGCGTTCGGATGCGTTTATAGGATGCGTCTAGGCGCATTTCTTAGTTGTATCGCGTTCGGGCGCGTTTATAGAATGTGTCTGGCCGCGGTTCTTAGGTTCTACCGCGTTCAGATGCGTGTATAGGATGCGTCTGACCACGTTTGATAATTCTATCGCGTTCGGACGCGTTCATAGGATGCGTCTGACCACGTTTGATAATTCTATCGCGTTCGGACGCGTTCATAGGATGCGTCTAGACGCGGCACTACACTATGTGAAACACCAAACGCGTCCAAACGCGTTTTTTCTGCGTTTCAGAGTTACATGGGTTACAGCATGACCATTATGTCTTGATTGGATTTTTTCGCTTCTCACTCTTGGTATTTAGTAGATAGAAGAAGAAGAATTCTCACATGGAAAAAAACGCAACTATACGAGACATGAATGACAGCAAATCATTATATTGCAGTATGAATTTGTTCCTAAATTTCGTTTGATCCGGTTTGTATTCTCTTAGAAATAATTTGAATTGAACATCATTCAACCACTGCTCACTAAAAACGCCCTTTTCTTCTTTGACCGGAAGAATCTGATGTCGTATTTGAAGCCTTATTTCTCATTAAGTCCGATTTCGGCTCAGTTGTTTCATTCTCGAAAAGTGCTTCGATCATTATAGATCACAATAATTGTTTTAATTCTTGAACTTAGCTATTCTACATGAGTAAAAAGGATCCAAATGCTGTGGTCAGTATCCCTGACTATTAATACTACAAGCAATGGCATTTTTGCTCCGCCAATAGTAACTAAGCGATAACCTTCTTATGGAGTGAAGCTTTAGTTCTTGTGTCACTATAAGTGTCAAAATCGAATGAAAGTTGTGGTGACAATGATAGGAAACGTAAATTAGAAATGACACTTTTATAGTTAGGACATTATATTGTATTTTAGACTTTCGATCATTTAATCCGAACGTTGTATGGAAAAGCGGGTGTTGACGAAGTTTATAGTGTGAATCTTGAGATTGAAACTCGATTGAAATGGTTCTTAACTTGCAGTGGGTACCCCCAAGAGTTTTATATATACAAATATGTTTGTTTCTAAACGATATCGACGACAATTGAAATATATTCTTTTCAACATATATTCGAAACAAATTCGACAAAATGAAGTTGAAAGGATATGGGAAATCAAGTTGTAATATTCTCTATATTCTTATTCGTTGTTTCGTGACGTGTTTCCTTTTATTAAAACCTTATTAAAAATTTTTACCATGTCACTATAATCAAGAAGAAGTATTATTTTCTTTGCCCATTTTTTTCCGACACAAAAATTTAACTTTATGTAAAACCTTGATTCATGTACGTGTGATTTTCATAATTGAAGTCAAAAAGACAAAAGATAAAAATAAATTGAAAATACTTGAAATTTGATGGAAATTAATCAACTTTATTTGACAAGTGACTCTCATTGAATGCAATCACATTCAACTATAGATTTTGTTTTATAAAACGATTTATAGAGGGCGTCTATAAACAGTGATATCTTGTTCTTTTCATTTAACTGGTTATTTATTTGTTTACAGGCATCCTTCACTGATTCGTTTTCATCCTTTGTTTAATATATCATTCAGCATAAGTATCATCACAACAACGCGTTTTTCTATCGCATAAAATGACTAGTAAACGATTAGTAACTATTACCGGATCAACCGACGCAAAAAGAGGTGACTATTTCATCGTTTTCATATACGAATAGATTCGTGGTCTAACACGTGATGTCAAAATTGAAAAAGCATGAGAAATTGCACGTTTAAATAATGATATTGAATTGGTATGAAACTTCGTTCGGTGTCATTTGAGAAAGTTTCGAGTATACACCCAATATGTGAATATTTGATGAAGGAGAAGTTGGCCAAGCTGACTCAACACCATGATGAGCCAATTAACTGGATAGGAATCGTATCAATATGAAATGTACGCTCCACATAAAGAATACAAATCTCAACTTGACACTTGCTGTCGAGAATAGACTGTCTGACAGAAGCAAATAGTATATGAAAAATAAGAAGGAGTTTCGTAGTTTTTCACATAAAGTGTAGTGATGAGAAAAAACAGAGTGATAAAATTAACACGATGTCTTGTGATAGTAAAGGCAAAACGATTTTTTTTCAAAAAATCAGTGCATATATTGATTATCAAGTGAAGAGAAGTACATGACGTATCTCGTTTATTTCCGATGTGCAGGCGATTGGTTCGTTTTGTATGATAAGCATCCGAGAAAATTAAAAGCAACATCGTCGCTCCATCATATTTGCTTTTCTTTATTTACATGATATGTTACAAAAAAAGCTATCTGTTTTGACTTTTCAATTCCTCAACTCGGTTAACTAGCGCAGGTAACGTTGTCGCAGCTGTTCCGCCTAAATATTGATAATTGTTCAACGTTGAAAAATTCGTTCTCTCCAAATTAATATCAATCAGAGTCGCACCATTTCGAGCTGCTGATTCAGGCAGACCAGCAGCCGGGTAAACCTGAGCGGAAGTTCCTACAATAATCATCACATCACCATGTCCTAAATGTCTTGCTGCCGTTTGCGCACCCATCCATTGATCACCTGGCAAACCTTCCGTAAATAAAACACAATCCGGACGTAAAGTCGACCGGCATCCTTCGACTCGACATGTCGGCGATTTTCTTGGAAGATTTATTTCATCTCCGAAATCATAAATGTGACCATTGGCAACACATCGACTACGTCGAACAGTTCCATGAACTTCGAACACATGATCAGGCTTTGAACCAGCTCGTTGGTGTAGACCATCGACGTTCTGTGTAATAATCGCCGTCTCCGGACATAATTTTTCTAACTTAACGAGTGCTTTATGACCTTCATTTGGTTGAGCATCACGTATCGGATTATAAAATTTATCGATATATTGACTCCAAGCAAGACCGGGTGTCCATTTCCAACCAACAGGCGTGCCAAACCATCCGAGTACAACAGTTCCGAGAACACCACTCCATAAGCCACTTCCACCTCGAAACGTTCCTATACCAGATTCTGCAGACATACCAGCACCGGTAAAACAAACGATACGATTTGCATTGGCAACAATTTGTGCACATTTTTCTAACATTTCAGGATCGGTCGACATCGTGACTTTTTCTATAAAAGAAAAAGAAATGACTTAACAGACATTTTATCTCTTTAATCCGAATCAGTCCATTCGAGAAATTCAACAGTAGATGTCACACATTGCTTGACAGAAAGAAAAACAAATAAGAAGAAGTGAGAAGTCGTTCTGTTTCACGTTCACGGACTGAATTCACCGAGTGCAAATAGAATCACTGCATAGAACTGTCTAATGACATGTGTTCAATGTCAAATAAAACTAAAACCGTCGAATGAAATAAATTACGTCATTTTTTTATTGATTGAGAGAATGAAAAGAAAAAAAAGTACTCATAGGTTATACCATCCAGTACAACGCGTAAAAGAGAGAGAAAAAAACGGTAAGTGTATTTATATTCCCATATAAACTCCATCATCTGGGGTGCATTTACATATGAATGTACACAGACATTTATTCATTCCATAACCTTGATGACAATAACTCAGAAAAAAAGTTTCGTTGTTTGAAGATGTTTTTATTGTTGATAAATGCGAGACAATAAATCAATGTGATGTACACTTCATTGAAGTGAGACATCGAAAGGAATATAGAAATCGACAGTTCTTCTCTTCTATTCAGTTTTAGATGTCGAGAATTCCTCCTCCTCGTCGTTATACGCTTCAACCATCAGCAAGAAAAGTTTCATCGAGTTCTGAGTACGCAGGTGACGATCCTTGGGTTAACGAATTATTAAATCGTGAAATTGATTTTTCGAAATTAATTCGCCAACGACCATCAATTGAAATTGTCAATCCAAGAATTGATCCTATTGCATATGCTCCGATTAGAAGAGAAATACATCATCAATATCGACTAACACCTTCAACTCAACATAATTCAAATACGTTAAAGGCAAATTCAACATCACGAACATGGATTATTGATCAAACAAATCAACCTAACAAACATTCATCCAAACACAATTCGCACAAAAGGAGTTTTGATGAAGAAGAATCACTTGTGAAATATCAAAGAAGACTTATATCTCCTAGACGAAATTCTTCATTTGCACATGGTGACTTTAAGGGAAAAGATAATGACGACGACGATGATGACGAAAAAAGTGAAAACAAAACTCTATGGAATTTATACAGTAGTAAAGAAAAACGGAATATTTTGATATATATCATCGGAATAATGTTATACAAATTTGGCTTAGAAGCATTTAACGGCTCGATCGTTAGTTTGGCAGCAAATCGTTACGATCGTGATGCCATGCAAAGTGGAATGTCGGCGAAAACATTTGAAAAGGTCGGATTAATAATTGGACTGAACCAAGCGTGTCAGTGTATTGGATCGATTCTTATCGCTCCATTGATCAAACGTTGGCCGACGCGAACGGTTTTATCCATATCGATATTTCTATTTTCCATATTCGCCGCATTGTTAATGATCATCGATGGAGCGACAGGCGGAAAAATCAAACCAAATCCATTTTATCCGGCGCACGAACACGATTACAGCTACTACGGAAACTATCCGACTAATCTCATCATTCCAATTTATTGTTTAACTGGAATTGCATATGGAATGGTTGAATTAATTCGGCGTATCATCCCCCGGGATATTGTAGGAAGTGATGAAGAAAAATTACAACGAATGGATGCACTTGTTCATGTGTTTTACGAAGTTGCTGGCGTCAGTGGGGCGTTTGTAACCGGACTCGTTTTAATTCCTAAACTTGGTAACAATTATTCGTTTATCATTACTCCGATCCTTTTTACTCTATCCGCGATTGTTTGGTTCTTTATTAATGCNAAACTTTGTCCTCCACTAGGGTCACTGAATAGTCACTATCGAACAGCGATGTGAAAGAACGAACCAACCAACCAACCAACCAACCAACCAACATCAACTCGTTTTTTTTGTAATACCTGCTCGACGCATAACCCTCCTTTCAGTAGAGGGAAAAAGAAGTATTATTTTCTTTGTTCATTTTTCGATACAAAAATTTAATTTAATGTGAAACCTCAATTCATGCACGTGCGACTTTCATACTTGATGTCAAAAAGATCAAAATAAATTGAAAATACTTGAAATTTTATGGAAAATAATAAATTTTTATTCACAACTGATTCTCATTCAATTCAATTCGATCACATTCAACTATAGATTTTGTTTTATAAAACGATTTATAAAGTGCGTCTATAAACAGTGATATCTTCTTTTCGTTTAACTGGTTATTTATTTGTTTACAGACGTCCTTCACTGATTCGTTTTCATTCTTTGTTTAATATATCATTCAACATAAATATCATCACAATAAAGCGTTTTTTCTATCACATAAAATGACTAGTAAACGATTAGTAACTATTGCCGGATCAACCAGTGCAAAAAGAGGTGGCTAATTCATCGTTTTCATATACGAATAGATTTGTGGTCTATCACGTGATTTAAAAGTTGAAAAAGCATGAAAAATTGCGCGTTTAAACAATGATATTGAATTGGAATGAAACTTTGTTCGGTGTCATTTGAGAGAGTTTCCAGTACATCCAATATGTGAATATTTAATGAAGGAGGAGTTGGTCGGGCTGACTCAACACAATGATGAGCCAATTAACTAGGTAGGAATCGTACCAATATGAAATGTATGCTCCACATAAAGAATACAAATCTCAACTTGACACTTACTGCCGAGAATAGACTGTCTGACAGAAGCAAATAGTATATGGAAAATAAGGGGGAGTTTCGTACCTTTTCACATAAAGTGTAGTGATGAGAAAAAACAGAATGATATAATTAACACGATGTCTTGTGCCAGTAAAGGCAAACGATTTTTTTAAAAATCAGTGCATATATTGATTATCAAGTGAAGAAAAGTACATGAGGCATCTCGTTTGCTCCCGATATACAGATGATTAGTTCGTTTTGCATTATAAGCATCCGAGACAATTAAAAACAACATCGTCGCTCCATCATATTTACTTTTTTTTTCTTTTCTTTATTTACATGATATGTTACAAAAAAAGCTATCTGTTTTGACTTTTCAATTCTTCAACCCGATTAACTAACGCAGGTAAAGTTGTCGCAGCTGTTCCGCCTAAATATTGATAATTGTTCAACGTCGAAAAATTCGTTCTCTCTAAATTAACGTCAATCAGAGTCGCACCATTTCGAGCTGCTGATTCAGGTAGACCGGCAGCCGGGTAAACCTGAGCGGAAGTTCCTACAATAATCATCACATCACCATGTCCTAATCTTCTTGCTGCCATTTGTGCACCCATCCATTGATCACCTGGCAAACCTTCCGTAAATAAAACACAATCTGGACGTAGAGTCGACCGGCATCCTTCGACCCGACATGTCGGCGATTTTCTTGGAAGATTTGTTTCATCTCCGAAATCATAAATGTGACCATTGGTAACACATCGACTACGTCGAACAGTTCCATGAACTTCAAACACATGATCAGGATTTGAACCGGCTCGTTGGTGTAGACCATCGACGTTCTGTGTAATAATAGCCGTCTCTGGACATAATTTTTCTAACTTAACGAGTGCTTTATGACCTTCATTTGGTTGAGCATCACGTATTGGATTATAAAATTTATCGATATACTGACTCCAGGCAAGACCGGGTGTCCATTTCCAGCCAACAGGTGTGCCAAACCATCCGAGTACAACAGTTCCGAGAACACCACTCCATAAGCCACTTCCACCTCGAAATGTTCCTATACCAGATTCTGCAGACATACCAGCACCAGTAAAACAAACGATACGATCTGCATTGGCAACAATTTGTGCACATTTTTCTAACATTTCAGGATCAGTCGACATTGTGACTTATTCTATAAAAGAAAAAAGAAATGACATAACATAACAGACATTTTATCTCTTTAATCCGAATCAGTCCATTGGAGAAATTCGACAGTAGATGTCACACATTGCTTGACAGAAAGAAAAAAAAAAAGAAGTGAGAAGTCGTTCTGTTCCACGTTCACGTACTGAATTCATCGAGTACAAATAAAATCACTACATAGAACTGTCTAATGACATGTGTTCAATGTCAAATAAAACTAAAACCGTCGAATGAAATAAATTACATCATTTTTTTATTGATTGAGAGAATGAAAAGAAAAAAAAGTACTTATAGGTTATACCATCCAGTACAACACGTAAAAGAGAGAGAAAAAAAACGGTAAGTGTATTTATATTCCGATATAAACTTCATCATCTGTGGTGCATTTACATATGAATGTACACAGACATTTATTCATTCTAACCTTGATGACAATAACTCAGAAAAAAGTTTCGTTTTTTGAAGATGTTTTTATTGTTGATAAATGCGAGACAATAAATCAATGTAGTGTACACTTCATTGAAGTGAGATATCGAAAGGAATATAGAAATTGACAGTTCTTCTCTTCTATTCAGTTTTAGATGTCAAGAATTCCTCCACATCGTCGTTATACCCTTCAACCATCAGCAAGACAAGTTTCATCGAGTTCTCGGTACGCAGGTGACGATCCTTGGGTTAACGAATTATTAAATCGTGAAATTGATTTTTCGAAATTAATTCGCCAACGACCATCAATTGAAATTGTCAATCCAAGAATTAATCATATTGCGTATGCTCCGATCAGAAGAGAAATACATCATCAGTATCGACTAAGACCTTCAACTCAACATAATTCAAATTCGTTAAACTCAAATTCAACATCACGAACATGGATTATTGATCAAACAAATCAACCTAACAAGCATTTACCCAAACACAATTCGCACAAAAGGAGTTTTGATGAAGAAGAATCACTCGTGAGATATCAAAGAAGATTTATACCTTCCAAACGAGATTCTTCATGCGTACATGATGACGACGATGGCGAAAACAGTGAAAATAAAACTCTGTGGAATTTATACAGTAGAAAAGAAAAACGGAATATTTTGATATATATCATCGGAATAATGTTATACAAATTTGGTTTAGAAGCGTTTAACGGTTCGATCGTTAGTTTGGCAGCAAATCGCTACGATCGTGATGCCATGCAAAGTGGAATGTCGGCGAAAACATTTGAAAAGGTCGGGTTAATAATTGGACTAAACCAAGCTTGTCAGTGTATTGGATCGATTCTTATCGCTCCGTTGATCAAACGTTGGCCGACGCGAACGGTTTTATCCATATCGATATTTCTATTTTCCATATTCGCCGCATTGTTAATGATCATCGACGGAGCGACAGGCGGAAAAATCAAACCAAATCCATTTTATCCGATGCACGAACACGATTATAGCTACTATGGAAACTATCCGACTAATCTCATCATTCCAATTTATTGTCTAACTGGAATTGCATATGGAATGGTCGAATTAATTCGGCGTATCATCCCCCGGGATATTGTAGGAAGTGATGAAGAAAAATTACAACGAATGGATGCACTTGTTCATGTGTTTTACGAAGTTGCTGGCGTCAGTGGGGCGTTTGTAACCGGGCTCGCGTTAATTCCTAAACTTGGTAACAATTATTCTTTTATCATAACTCCAATCCTTTTTACTCTATCCGCGATTGTTTGGTTCTTTATTAATGCACTTGGAAGCAAAACGAACCTTTCTAACGATGAAATTCCAGGCGGACAAGTTGTTAATGAGAAAACTAATTATCTTAAGGCAATTTTAAAAGGTTTTGTTCTATTTGGCGAATCGGTTTATATCGGAGGAAAAATTATTTTCTCTAATCGAAAATATATCTGGTTATTACCATGTTATACTCTGACCTTATACGTTCATCGGTACATTGAAAACGGTCTTGCTCCGCAAATAGCAAAAAGATATTTGAATAACAGCGAATGGTCACAAATTATCGTTGGAGGATCGAATTTTGGTGAATTGCTTGGTGCATTAGCTGTTTTCATCTTCACAAAGAAAATTCATAGTCCAATCGTCTGGTTAAGATTAGATTGTTTATTGTTGTTAATTGCTTGGTATATTCCTTTTTATAATCCATCGTCAATATCGATAAAACATGCGTGGATCATTGCGGCAACATTCCTTCCGTTTGGTTTTGGTTCGGCAGGTGATGATGTTTCATTAAATGCGCATATCCAGTCGGTTTTAAGTAAACCGGAATTGAAAAACCGTGATGTTTCGTCGTTAGGTGCTGTGATGGCATTTCTCTATTCGTCATATATTATTCTTTATGCGATTTGCAATCCTCTACTCGGAAAATATATCGATTCAGTTTACAACGCAAGACAAACCATTCGACCAGCGTTGATTTTCACAGCTGGAGTACAAATTTCGGCTATTTCGTTTGTGATTTTACTTTCGACTTTCATTCCGAGGAAGTCTTGGAAATTAAATCCCCGTTTAGAAGAATAATGAAAATTTATCATAAGTTATTACTTTTATTCAAGATTTTTTCACTAGTTTCGAATAAATTTGAAGTGATTACAATAGATAGAGAAGAAATGTTATCATTCGCTGACATGCTTTTCATACATATGAGTACAGACTTTTAGAATCAATGGGGGCGTTTGTCTATATGTAGGTCGGAGTTTTGTTGTTAGTTCTACAGTCACTTTAAAATTATTTTACTAATGATTGCTCTGTGTATAGTTTATCATACACTCACTGTTTTATTTAGATTCACCAAGATGAACGTTTTCTTACCTAGCAGCACTTGTTCGCAAGTATGCACGATTGCTTGCGATCGAACTTTCTGTAAAGCCGTGCGTTAGATCTTCAACTGGTTAAAACTATCTAAATTGTGAGTATTATATATCCCCTATCATGACTGGTCTTATCATATTCTGGAGGTTTGGGCGAGAATGGCAACAAAGACATGAAATTCATCTATATCTTTCATGTCTGTTTTCTGTCGATAAGAATACGATATTTTTTAACGCTTTTCTAACGGAGACCACTATGAGGAAAATTGAAATACACTTTAGATTAGAGTCGTATTCACCTGAGCTAGTTCACTTTGAACTCCTTTATAATAATCATATCGCGATCGACGCACAATTGTTTTGGATTCTTGATGAATAGCATTGTATCACTCTAAATTAAACAGTGCTCATTATAGTGACGCATTTCTCGTGAATGAGCTAACTGACATTTGATCGATATACAAATAGACAGAAAATACTTTGGGAAGTCTCAAATACAAACCACTATACACAGTTGATACAATGTTCATAACGAGTTGAGATAGTCGAGAAAAATATTATTTTGAAATGTGTGTAGACGAGTTAATGGTAGATGTTAATAATATTCATTATACTGCATTTAGACACAATGATGTGTTTGTCTAGAAAAACTCTAAAAGTGCTGGTAAATACTATAACATCTGACCGAAAAGGTGAAACTTAACTATTAATACACATCAGTCAAAAGCGACATGAGCATAAGATGTCTCTGACGCAATTTGATAGTAAAAATTTAGCGTTTAAATGCAATCGCAGTATTATTATGAAGATATGACAGTACTATGGATAGACAACTTGTTTCTGTCATATTACATTTCATTCGTTGATTGCACCTACGTACCACTTATTGCTGTAGACTACTCGTACTTTATGCAAACAATCTCGCAATTCTTCATTACTATTCTAGCCACTAAATATCCTGTTATGATAAAGAAGAAGTCTCCAAACTGTGAGAAATCACGCGAATTCTACCAATGGGAGTAAAGTAGAAATGACAGTCCTCCGAAACACTCTAGTGATGATTCTGGCATGCATAACTAACCGTATTTGCGAAAGCCATCTAAGCCTAATCTATTGGGTAACAGGTGCTCGAATGATTCTGCAAGTATTGTTTATGAATATTACATTATCTGTTCTCTTGCAGTATTTTCTTCGTGTAGGAACAGTATAATAATGTGGTGACTATTTTGTGATCGCAGCCGTTCCAACCAACATAATCCACTTGGCCATGCTCATCCATATTGCACCAAAAGATACTATTTCTTGCCAGCGGACGAAATCGTCGTTCGATACATGCTACAGTAGGCGTCTGTTGACGTATGGTAGAAGCTGAGCTTGATGTTCGAATCTGATGGGTAACTGATGTCCTATCAACTTCAAAGGCCTTTGACGGCACAAATGAGAGTTCCCTGGACAGAACATATTGAGCTATCGTGTTTCTAGATAAACGTATTTAATCGCTTACACAAAAGCAATCGTATGTTTAACTTCGTTCTCAGTAAAAAAACTGTTCGATATAAAGTATCAATGGACTTCACGTGATTAGTCGAGTAACATACCGATGGTGAGGACATTCATGATCATATAGAGAAAGACTATAATTGAAATGCTTATTGCATGAATCTAGTTTTGTAGATGGAATTTCTCCTTCTTCGCAAAGATATGACCGAAAATAAGTAACATATCTACTGACAAGTTGAAGGCATCGAAAGCTGCTTTTTCTTAATGCAAAAAAAAATGAAGTATTTCTTGCATTTTACACGAAGAGAAAAATTGATTTACACAATCAGAAAGGAAAGCATTGACGTGGTAGAATCAATTTGTGTTGGTCAGTACAAATACTGCTGAAGTAAAGTGCCATCACTTCTCATGATGTGTATAACATAGAGAGTTTTATCTATTTCGTTTTAATGGAAATGTAGTCTTGGTTATTGAATGTATCATTATAGTACGACACTAAAACAGAAAGTATATGAATTTCACTGATATTGACTAATTGTTGGATCGAGGTGATGACAAAAGTATAACACTAAGACTCATATCCACTATACTCCCCACTGAAAAAACTCCTGGTGTCCATCATTTCGGAGCTTATAACGAAAATCATAAATAGATCGTGTTTTGAAGAATTAAATAGCAAAATTTAGATAACGTAGTTCATGAAAGAGATTTTTATCATTCAAGTATTGCAGAGAATATATTCTCGTTACGAAAAACGTCCGACGTCATATTAAGCGTACGAGATCATAAGAGAATATGCTCGAGGAAAATAGAAACGAAAAATTCTGTTTGGAGAATAATTCGGAAACCATAAAATTAACGAAAAGTTGAAGATTTGAAAACGATTTCTTGAAACGTATTATTTAGAGTCAAAATGAAAGAAAGCTTGAGGGTGATCTTCGATTTCAAATAGGTATCATATATTTGCTGGCGGTGTATACTGATGACGACCAGTGATAGTCGAACGCTTTATTTTATTTTGATTCCAAGTAATACACTTCAAGAAATCATTTTCGAATTATCCTCAATTAAAACATCTCTTACGATTAGAATAGATTTCTTTTTATAGTTATGAGTGTGCACATTTTTTGGCAGTGATCATTGAAAAGAGTCCATTTGATCCCCTCTGTTGTGAACGTATTCAAAATCCTTCGATAATCTATTTTATTTTCAAATGCAAACCCATGGAAATCTAACCAGAAAAATGACGCATATATCTGTTCTCTGTTATGCAACGTTTTATACGGCGCTGATAAAATGACAAAAAAAGGAGAGAGGAGAATGCAAGTTGTTTTCATTTGAAATAGGACCCTTATTGACTCGTAAAGGAAGAATCCTTCCACCGTTAGAACAACTATATACATCCATAATGCTTTGTCAATTTCCACTTAATAGAATGGATAATGAAATTAAATTTACTGCCTACGATCATCATTTGTTACCGGTAAAGCTATGTAGTGATGTTACACCATGGCCAGTTAATCAAAAAAGTTGGTGCAAATCTTCAACAGCGAGAGAAGATATTTCAATGGTATTAGCATGTATTGAGAAAAAGCATCGAGAACAAGTTGGACCAAGTGTAATGCTTATGTGGAATATACGGGAGAAATGGAAATTAATATTAACGATAAAATAAAACTCGCGTTAGTTTTATGTTATCGTGAGAATGAGGACTATAGATAGCCGGTGTCTCACGATAAAAAAGGGTGAGGGTGGTGACTGAATCAATATAGACCAATCTGAGTCATTAAAAGATGCTTCATACGAACCTACTTGAAAGTGACGGATAAACGCATCAAACGAATTATTAAATCATCTGGAAGGGTTAATCAGTAGAACGAAACTGCTCGGTCGATTATAAATACTAGTTTAGACTCTTAAAAATCACCGATCTCTAACGCGTTCAACGACCGCAAATGTCTCTAATTTAGAATAAAATATCAGATTCTTGTTCGAATAGGAAATTTAATTTCTAATTCTTGAACCTTCTCCAGACGAACTGGATATGATGAATATTGTTTTTCTTCAATTATGTAGCATATCAATATACGACTGTTCGCAGTAGTACAAACTAGGAAGTGGATATAATCCATTTTCTTTACGAAAAAAAACCTTGTACATTGATGACTGTGATAACATTTATTTCATTACATATTTAACGTGCTTTTTTTGTAACATCATATCATTCTATAATCAATATGAAATAACAATGCCATCAAAACCAAATGTAGTTGTCGTCATATTAGGAAATCTGCAATTAGTTATCAATTATTTCGCACCAGTTTTTCTTATTCTGAGTACTTACTGGGCTTCTTGGCAATTGTTTTATAGTTTCCTACCCAACAATCCGTGCAAATACGCATTTAATCTATTTATTATGCGGCACAATTAGCGATGAATTCGATCTTCTTCCTAGTCTCTTACCAAATTACCTTGCTCTCTTTGATTTTATACCACATCGTTTGTATGGAAACATCATCTTCAATGTGTAAATTGATCATGTTGATCCGCACATTTCCGCCTCAATTATCCATTAGTTCTCTAGTCTTCGCTCTTATTGATCGATTTTGCTTGTTCATGTGATTTGGCATCCCAATGGCGTAAAATCAATAGCTTAAAAACTGTTCCTTGTATGGTAAGATCAGCAATGCTCTACAATCTACTTATCGGTATTCAAATGTCACCTCTCTCACTTTCTGTGCTACTCTGTTTCATTTAGAATGTCACACTGCCTAGTCGAATGAATCGTCAATTGATTCGTGCAGTCAGGTCTTAGTTACGAATTTTTATCAATTCAATGGATAGTTCTCTATTCTTTCGTTATTATTAGTATACAAAACAGTTTTAGTACGTCTTTAGAACAATTTTCGATTGCTAGCTTCGTAGTTGCGTTAGGTTATCATATTTGCTTCATTGGTAATGTTAAATATGTGACGCTCGATTTACCTATTGATATATTGTTTCTCAGCCAGAGATTTATTACTAAATAATACTCTTCAAAGGTTCGTGATTATCGTTGGTCATTTGACGATTAAAAAAGAACGAAAATTTACAGATAATATGATAATGATTCAATCGGATTTATCTATTCGGTCGCTTTCCCAGCCATCGGTCGATCAACGACAAATGAAATACTTAAGAATCATTTGGATTCATCAATACAGTGCACCGTTCATTTATATGCGCTACATATGAAAATGATTGACCGTATTCAAAAAAAAATAGGGTGTGAATAAATGTATGTATGAGTGAGTTAGATTAACTAATGATCATCATTCCATTTGTGTCCACATCCTCACCCTTGACTATATAGCTGCTGTTGTGAAGTGTTTGGTAAGAGAGAATATTATACTTTTATATTGTTAATGGTTGATATTATCGGTATTGTCTTCTTTTCGGAAAAAGCCAGATAGCTATAAAGTAGACCGAATAGAGATCTCTCAAAGCTCAACACGTACACTCACCTCATAATAAGTAATGGAAAAAGACCGAGTAGAGCTAGGACAAGAAATACAAGTCCAGGTAAGAAGTGCAGTGATGCATTGTAGATGGCATTCGACACGGCCTCCATCGCTTTATCACCACCTGCTTCAATGAATGCTGCAGCAATGAAAACAATGGCATATTCATGTGGCTCGACGAGTCTGCTCAATTTAGATCTTAGTATCGGCATCGTAATAAAAAAGAAACTTCCAATGAATGCACCTAGAATAGAATAGATCTTCTGTGTTATCATTCAAATATAAAACGCATTCAATGTAAGCAAACCCATGTAGAGCAACCAGTTTGACTTAGCCAATCCAAAGAGAAGGAGATCACCGACGAGGGCAAGCAAGCCAATAATGGGCAAAGAATAGGACTTGTCCAACTGTTGTTTTCCAAGCAAGCTGATTATAAGAGTGAATAAGCAGGCACTGATCGCATGAGTTGTAGCAAGCAAACCAACGTCAAGTGCATTCATACAAAACGGACGTCCATAGGCAAAAAGAGAAAACATAGACATGTAACCAAATAACATAAGCAAAAGAAGAATGTTAGTGATGCTGATTAGAAGCAGGTGTTGTTGATTGTGGCCCGGACGTTTGGTAAGAAATACTTGGATACAATGAATTATTGGTTGAAGACGGATAGATGTGATTTGCAGAATGAGAGACTTGTTGCGCCTAGACACGAAAAAGAGTTTACTATTTTTTCTCTACTTTCAGGTTATTATGAGCACGAGCGAGCGAAGTGTTCTCTAGAGACGAGAAACTTTATGAGTAAAAAGATGAAGTCCATTTTGTTTTGTGTATTTCGTAAATATATGGATAACAAAAAACTTACATGTTTTGTACAGATTCGGGTTGTATAAACAGTACGTAGAGCATGCCAATAACACTTAGACCAAGACAGACGCTTGTTGGAATAGTATAAAGAAAATGTTGTAACCATAAACCAACGGCAAGAACTGGTACAACACGAGCTACTAGCGTGACCACCTCAGCTATCAAGAATGGTCGAGTTCTCTTCGACTCATGTGTACAATCGGTGATGTAAGCAAGTGCACTCAACATAACGATTCCAAATGAACCAAATAAGGCTTCACATGCGTGAGCAACCATTAGCCACCCGTCAGGAAGATCGTGCGCTATGATAATTAACATCAGTGAATATCGAACTACTTTACCTGTGAATGGTAAGAAAAGTAATGGTCGTCGGCCAATGGTGTCACAATTCGAACCGAGCAAAACAATGGCAAATAGAGATGGTATAAGTGTGGCAAATGAATTTTTCACATTGAATTTTGCGGCGTTTTGCTGTACTATGTTATAATCAGTTCCAGCAGACGAATATTCATGAAGATACCAATAGTCAGGTGTCGAAGTCGATGATTGATGACATGTAGTTCTTTGTGATCTGTCCGAAACATCGAGCCCATACTGCCGTTCGTACCGACGCACAATAAAATCGTTCAGAATCAGAAGATCAGGCGCGGAAGCCAATGTAATTAATATTAAACAGGGTACGACAAGCCACCACCGTGGTGTAGACGAAACCGGTCCAGAAACTTTTCCAGTTTTCTTCTTGCCGGACAAAAACACTGTATTCGTGTTTGTTTGACCATCATTTACTGTTCGTCGAGGCTGTTTCGTACGATTATTATCATCATCGATAACTGAACTAGCCAGACGATACTGATGGGTAACCATGATACAAACTCAAGTAAAAAACATTATATGAAACGATAGTCAATGTTACATTTGTAACTTTTACGGCCACCAACTAGTCTATCCTTCATACTTGAATGTAATGTATGGCAGGAAAAGAAAAGAAAAGAAAAGAAAAAATGGTTCTTTTTAGTGACCGTAATCATTCATCAGAACCAATTTTTTCTTTTATTCAACGAGAGGAAGAGAGAAAGGAAGAAAAAGAAAATGTGAACTATCAACCTGCTGTCAACTATAAAGAATAAATGTATACAAGGACAACGAAACTATACAATCTTATATATCACGTTCAAAAGCAATATGGAAGACGGTGTACGCTACTTGATATCGATTACATGAGTAGAGATTTCGAAAATTCAATTTGCTTTTTTTCACTAATTATTCTAAATTGAATTATAAAGGATGTCCCTTAATCTTGAAGGAACTAGAAATGCTAAAGTCACTAAAAACATAAAAGGAAGCTCCAGGTTATAAAGAGAAGTAACACAATGAAATATGCTTGAGCTTTGAGTATGACCAACGCTCGATCGCGATACTTTCTCAAATCACAACAGCACTTGACAAAAAGGAAAGTGTTCTTTTCATGTATCTTTGTATAGAAGTAGTTGAGAATAAACGCCCGTCGACAATAAAACGAAATAATAATCAATTAGACCTTTTTCTTCAAAGAGCGTTTTAATTTAAACCGACTAGTTCGCAGAAAAACGAGGAAAAGAATAGACCTTGAAATAAAATCCTTTATTTGATTGATTTTTCGTTCAAAACATCAAATCTTTGAATTCAATTATTTTTTTAATCTAGAGCATAAAGATTCCCTTCAGCATCTAATGATAAACCAGTGGGCCAATATAACTTCTTAGATTCTTTTCTTTTTGTATTTTAGCCAGCAATTATCCTGCCTTCACACCAGCGTACAATTCGATGATCATACGAATCCGTAATGAAGATGTTTTCATTTTTGTCGATGGAAAAAACCGTTGAGGAGAAAAGAGTTGCTTTAGATTATTTCCTTCACTATCACCGGTGACAGTTTATCCATACTATTTCCATTTTCTCAACTTTGCATCTGAAAATTCAAACATGCTTATGCTCATTTGCATTGCTGATCCAGTTGATTGGCCATCTTCACTGTGATCAGTTTCAACTAAATAAACATAAAATAAACCTGCAGGACGCTCTAAAGCGCCATGCTCGACATGAAACGTTGTTCCAAATTTTAGAATGAATTTCTCTACGTCTTCATAAGCCGTACATCCCGAAACTTTCTTCCCATTTAAAACCCCAAATCGAAAAAGTGTTGAATGAGAATGATTTCCAATCAATGGGTAAAGAATACGAATTTACAGTCCACAATGTTATTTTCTGGTTTCTGAAGAAATTCTTGCCGATACCATTTGAAGTTCCACGTCAAGCATTTCCTTGAACGACTGATAATTTGTGAGTGTAGGACCGTGTGAGTATCTGTTATAAAAAAAGATCAACAAAAATTTTGCATAACTTTTCAAATGAGCGCCAGTATTCCATTCATCTGAATTGACAGTTGAATAACCAAGATATCTTTCGCCATGCGTCAGCTGATGAACTGTTCATGATCATGATTAGAAAGAGCATTCATAACAAAAAATAGCGACGCTTGAGAGTGCGAGCTCAACAAGTTGTTTAATGAAAACACTCTTGTTTCATCATGTTTGTTACAGATTGTCGTATTGATCTGCAATAAATGCTCGACATCAATACGGAGTTGCAACATTTTAGTAAGCAGCTATTCCTATTACACTACCGAAAACGGTTTATGTACTTGATTGAGAAAATTTTGAAAAATGAAAAGACATGACAATCGGGGAGGGGGAAGCGCAAAAGTCGCCTAACCCTAAAAAATTGAGTAACTTCTTTACAGCTCAAGCAAATGAGCTGATATTTTTATCAATGATAAAGACATACCTAGAGAAACTCTTTGTTAAGTATTACCAGAGAACTCATCCAGGAAAAATTGACTTCTTCGTACAAATGAAAGAAGAATAGTATTCGATTAGCAAAGATAATTCAATCAGAATCAATATAATAAATCACATTGATTTATGTAAAATATGTATTTTATATCAATAGTATGTATTAATTAATAGACAGTTCATATGAATTTTCAAAAATCTGAAATATGCATACGATGGGCCGCCAAGAGTTACGTACCCAGGTCATTTCCACTCGGTCGGAACCGGCCGGTTCCTCATGTTTCTTTGCCGCCGGAATCCGGCCGGTTCCTCATGTTTCTTTGCCGCCGGAATCCGGCCGGTTTTCTACAGGTTTTTACCGGCAAATTCCTACTGGATCCAGACAGAAACGACGACAATTGAGAACGAGCTGGACCCGGTCACCATCAGGAACCAGCTGAATCCGGTGACCGTCAAAAACCACTTGAATCCGGTGACAATCGACAATCAGCTGGATCCGGTGACCATNTCGGAAAATATATCGATTCAGTTTACAACGCAAGACAAACCATTCGACCAGCGTTGATTTTCACAGCTGGAGTACAAATTTCGGCTATTTCGTTTGTGATTTTACTTTCGACTTTCATTCCAAGGAAGTCTTGGAAATTAAATCCCCGTTTAGAAGAATAATGAAAATTTATCATAAGTTATTCCTTTTATTCAACATTTTTTCACTAGTTTCGAATAAATTTGAAGTGATCACGATAGTTAGAGAAGAAATGTTATCATTTACTGCTATGTTTTTCATGCATATGAAATACACACTATTTAGAATCAATTTTATGTCCATTAGAAAAAAAAAGTATCTACCATTTTATCTTCTTATGTTGTGTTTATCAACTCTGCTATAAAAATCCTAACTATAGACGACAATGAATACGATTGCAGTTCTACAGTCACTTCAGAAATATTTTAATAACGATTGATCTGTGTATAGCTTATCATTCACGTACTGCTTTATTTAGATGCATTGCTTGCCATCGAACTTTCTGTAAAGCCGTACGTGAAATCTTCAACTGGTTAAAACTATCTAAATTATGAGTATTATATGTCCTTTATCATGACTGGTCTTATTATATTCTGGAGGGTTGGATGAGAATGGCAATGAAGACATAAAATTCATCTATACCCTTCAAGTCTGTTTTCTGTCAATAAGAATACGGTACTTTTTAACGCTTTCAAAACGAAACCGCTATGAGGAAAATTGAAATACACTTTAGATTAGAGTCGTATTCACCTGAGCTAGTTCACTTTGAACTTCTTTATAATAATCATATTACGATCGACGCACAACTATTTTGGATTCTTGATGAATAGCATTGTATCACTATAAATTAAACAGTGCTCAGTATAGTGACGCATCTATTGCGAACGAGCTAACTCACATTTGATCGTTATACAAATAGACAAAAATACTTCGGGAAGTCTCAAATACAAGCCACTATACACAGTTGATGCAATGCTCATAACGGGTTGAGATAGTCGAGAAAAACGTTATTCTGAAAGGTGTGTATACGAGTTAATGGTAGATGTTAATAGTATTCATTATACTGCATTTAGACACAATGATATGGTTGTCTAGAAAAATTCTGAAAGTGTTGGTAAATACTATAAAATCTGATCTAAAAGGCGAAACTTAACTATTAATACACACCAGTCAAAAGCGACGTGAGCAGATGTAAGTAGTTGCTCAATACCTGTCTCTTACATTTCTCTGCCGCAGTTCGATAGTAAAAATTTAGCGTTTAAATGTAATCACAGTATTATATTTTTTCAGTGTCATCTCCACCTTTAACAAGTATGCCGTGAAATTTTAGAACACAGTAATATGATATGAAGATATAACAGTACTATGGATATACAACTTGTTTCTGTCATATTACATTTCATTGATTGATTGCACCTACGTATCACTCATTGTTGTAGATTACTCGTATTTGATGCAAACAATCTCGCAATTCTTTATTACTATTTTTGCTACTAAATATCCTGTTATGATAAAGAAGAACGCTCATTGGATGTTGATTCCGATCACTTGGATTATTTGTGACAAAAACTATTCATTATATTCCAAACTCGTTGTGCTAGGTGCTACTTTCAGCAACACTAGACGTTGTTGTGGGAGCAGTTGGCTATTACGTTATTCCACTCTGTGCAATCTTCGGCACATACATTTTTATCTACCGTCAAATAAGAAGAAGTCGTCAAACTGTGAGAAATCACACGAATTCTATACCAATGGGAGTCAAGTAAAAATGATAGTTCTCCGAAACGCTGGTGATGATGATCTTCTTTCTAATGAGTGGTGTATCCACTGTTCTAATTACAAAGTAGGAGATGGATCTAATCCATTTTCTTTTACAAAAAAAACATTGTAATTACATTAATAACTGTGATAATATTTCTTTCATTACATATTTAACGTGTTTTTTTTGTAACATCATATCATTCTATAATCAATCTGAAATAACAATGCTATCAAAACCAAATGTAGTTGTCGCCATATTAGGGAATCTGCAATTAGTTATCAATCATTTCGCGCCGGTTTTTCTTATTCTGGGTACCACTGGGTTTCTTGGCAATTGTCTTATAAGTCCGTGCAAATATGTGTTCAATCTATTTATTATGCGGCACAATTAGTGATGGATTAAATCTTCTTCCTAGTCTCTTACCAAATCATCTTGCTCTCTTTGATTATACCACATCATTTGTGGGAACATCATCTTCGATGTGTAAATTGGTTGTGTTGATCCGCACATCTTTGCCTCAATTATCTATTAGTTTTCTAATCCTCGCTCTTATAGATCGGTTTTGCTTGTTCATGTGATTTAGCATCCCAATGGTGTAAAATCAATAGCTTAAAAACTGTTCCTTCGATGGTTAAATCAGCAATACTCTACAATCCACTTATCGGTATTCAAATGTCACTTCTCTCACTTTTTGTGCTACTCATATTTGGAAATGCTACGCGTAGTCGAAATCGAGGGGTAAATAATCTTTGATTACTACGACACGTTTCCGTTCTACTCTGTTTCATTTAGAATGACGCGCTGCCTAGTCGAATGAATCGTCAATTTATTCGTGCAGGTCTTAGTTACGAATTTTATCAATTCAGTAGATAATTCTCTCTTCGTTCCTCATGTTTAGTATACAAAACAGCTTTAATACGTCTTTGGAGAACGAAAATTCACAAATAATACGATAAGGATTCAATCAAATTTCTCTATTTGGTCGTTCTCCCAGCCATCGGTCGATCAACAACAAATGAAATACTTAATAATCATTTGAATTCATCAATACAGTGCACCATTCATTTATAAGTGCTACATAAGAAAATGTTTGACCGTATTCAAAAAAATAGGGTGTGAATAAACGCATATATGAGTGAGTTAGATCAACTAATGATCATCATTCCATCTGTGTCCACACCCTCACCTTTGACTACATAGCTGCTGTTGTGAAGTGTTTGGTAAGAGAGAACATTATACTTTTGTATTGTTAATGGTTGATATTATCGGTATTGTCTTCTTTTCGGAAAAAGCCAGATAGCTATAAATTACACCGAACAGAGATCTCTCAAAGCTCAACACGTACACTCACCTCATAATAAGCAATGGAAAAAGACCGAGTAGAGCTAGGACAAGAAATACAAGTCCAGGTAAGAAGTGCAGTGATGCATTGTAGATGGCATTCGACACGGCCTCCATCGCTTTATCGCCACCTGCTTCGATAAATGCCGCAGCAATGAAAACAATGGCATATTCGTGTGGCTCGACAAGTCTGCTCAATTTAGATCTTAGTATCGGCATCGTGATAAAAAAGAAACTTCCAATGAATGCACCTAGAATAGAATAGATCTGATGTGTTATCATTCAAATATAAAATGCATTTAATGTAAGCAAACCCATGTAGAGCAACCAAGTTGACTTAGCCAATCCAAAGAGAAGGAGATCACTGACGAGGGCAAGCAAGCCAATAATGGGTAAAGAATAGGCCTTGTCTAACTGTTGTTTTCTAAGTAAAGTGATTATGAGAGTGAATAAGCAGGCACTGATCGCATGAGTTGTTGCAAGCAAACCAACGTCAAGTGCATTCATACAAAACGGACGTCCATAGGCAAAAAGAGAAAACATGGACATGTAACCAAATAACATAAGCAAAAGAAGAATGTTAGTGATGCTGATTAGAAGCAAGTGTTGTTGATTGTGACCCGGACGTTTGACAAGAAATACTTGGATACAATGAATTATTGGTTGAAGACGGATAGATGTGATTTGCAGAATGAGAGATTTGTTGCGCCTAGACACAAAAAGAAGTTGACTATTTTTTCTCTACTCTCAAATTATTATGAACATAAACGAGCGAAGTGTTCGCTAGAGACGAAGTCCATTTTGTTTTGTGTATTTCGTAAATATATAGATAAGAAAAAAAACTCACATGTTTTGTACAGATTCGGGTTGTATAAACAGTACGTAGAGCATGCCAATAACACTTAAACCAAGACAGACGCTTGTTGGAATAGTATAAAGAAAATGTTGTAACCATAAACCAACGGCAAGGACCGGTACAACACGAGCTACTAGAGTGACCACCTCAGCTATCAAGAATGGCCGAGTTCTCTTCGACTCATGTGTACAATCGGTAATGTAAGCAAGTGCACTCAACATAACGATTCCAAATGAACCAAATAAGGCTTCACATGCGTGAGCAACCATTAGCCACCCATCAGGAAGATCGTGCGTTATGATAATTAACATGAGTGAATATCGAACTACTTTACCTGTAAATGGTAAGAAAAGTAATGGTCGTCGGCCAATAGTGTCACAATTCGAACCGAGTAAAACAATGGCAAATAAAGATGGTATAAGTGTGGCAACTGAGTTTTTCACATTGAATTTTGCGGCGTTTTGCTGTACTATGTTATAATCAGTTCCAGTAGATGTATATTCATGAAGATACCAATAGTCAGGTGTCGAAGTCGACGATTGATGACATGTAGTTCTTTGAGATCTGTCCGAAACATCGAGTCCATACTGCCGTTCGTAGCGACGCACAATAAAATCGTTCAGAATTAGAAGATCAGGCGCGGAAGCCAATGTAATTAATATTAAACAGGGTACAACAAGCCACCACTGAGATGTAGATGAAACCGGTCCAGAAACATTTCTAGTTTTTTTCCTGCCGGACAAAAACACTGTATTTGTGTTTACTTCACCATCATTTACTGTTCGTCGAGGCTGTTTCGTACGATTATTATCATCATCGATAACTGGAGTAGCCAGACGATATTGATGGGTAACCATGATACAAACTCAAGTAAAAAACATTATATGAAGCGATAGTCAATGTTACATTTGTAACTTTTACGACCACCAACTAGTCTATCCTTCATACTTGAATGTAATGTACGTCAGGAAAAGAAAAGAAAAGAAAAAATGGTTCTTTTTAGTGACCGTAATCATTCATCAGAAGCAATTTTTTCTTTTATTCAACGAGAGGAAGAGGAAAAGGAAGAAAAAGAAAATGTGAACTATCAACCTGCTGTCAACTATAAAGAATAAGTGTATACAAGGACAACGAAACTATACAATCTTATATACCACGTTCAAAAGCAATGTGGAAGACGGTGTACGATACTTGATATCAAGTACATGAGTACAGAATTCATAAATTCAATTAGCTTCTTTCACTAATTATTCTAAGTTGAATTATAAAGGATGTCCTTTAATCTCGAACGAACTAGAAATACTAAAGTCACTAAAAATAAATAAAAGGAAGCTCCAGGTGATAAAGAGAAGTAACACAATGAAATACGCTTGAGCTTTGAGTACGACCAACGCTCGATCGCGATATTTTCTCAAATCACAACAACACTTGACAAAGAGGAAAGTGTTCTTTTCATGTATTTTTTGTATATGAATAGTTGAGAATAAACCATCGACAATAAAACGAATAATAATCAATTAGACTTTTTTCTTCAAAGACCGCTTTAGTTTAAACCGACCGGTTCACATAAAAACGGGGAAAAGAATAGACCTTGAAATGAAATCCTTTATTTTATTTATTTTTCGTTCAAAATATTCAATCTTGGAATTCAATTATTTTTTTAATCCAAAGCATAAAGATTCCCTTCAACATTAAATGATAAACCAGTGGGCCAATATAATTTTTTGGATTCTTTTCCTCTTGTATTTTGTCCAACAATTATCTCGTCTTCGTCTCTGCTTTCACACCAGCGTACAATTCGATGATTATACGAATCCATAATGAAAATGTTTTCATTTTTGTCGATGAAAACCTTTGAGGAGAAAAGAGTTGCTGTAGTTTATTTCCTTCACTATCACCGGCGACAGTTTATCCATATTGTTTCCCTCTTCTCAACTCCGTATCGGAAAATTCAAACACACTTATGCTCATTTGCATTGATGATCCGATTGGTTGATCATCTTCACTGTGATCAGTTTCACCTAAATAAACTTTCAGGACGTTCTGAAACGCCATACTCGACACGAAATGTTGTTCCAAGTTTTAAAATGACTCTCTCTACGTCTTCATAAGCCGTGCATCCCGAAACATTCTTCCCATTTAAAACCTCAAATCGAAAAAGTGTTAAATGAGAATGATTTCTAATCAATTTCTGAATAATATCAATGGATAAATAATACGAATGTACAGTTCACAATGTTATTTTCTGGTTTCTGAAGAAATTCTTTCCAATATCATTCGAAGTTCCACGCTAAGCATTTCCTCGAACGACAGGTAATTTGTGAGGGTGTGAGTATCTGTTATAAAAAAAGATCAACAAAAATTTTGAATATCTTTTCAAATGAGCGCCAGCATTCCATTCGTCTGAATTGACAGTTGAATAAACAAGATATCTTTCGCCATTTGTCAGCAGATGAACTGCTCATGATCATGATTAGAAAAAAACATTCATAACAAAAAATAGCGACGTTTGAGAGTGCGAAACCAACAAGTTGTTTAATGAAAACACTCTTGTTTCACGATGTTTCTTCCAGATTGCCGTATTGATCTGCAATAAATGCTCGACATCGATACAGATTTACAACATTTTAGTATAAACAGCTATTCCTATTACACTACCGAAAATGGTTTATGTACTTGATTAAGAAAATTTTGGAAAATGAAAACACATGATATGGAGGGAGGAGGAAGTGCAAAAGTCGCCTAACCCTAAAATTTGAATAACTTCTTTACAACTCCAGCAAATGATCTGATATTTTTATCAATGATAGAGACATGCCTAGAGAAACTCTTTGTTAAGTATTACCAGAAACCTCATCTAGGAAAAATTGACTTCTTCCTACAAATGAGAGAAGAATCGTATTCGATTAGCGCAGATAATTCAATCAGAATAAATATAATAAATCATATGGAAAAAAATAGCTTGTCTGTTTGTGTCAGAGTCAAGGGTTAATGGTTAGAAAAATATCTTTTTCAAAAACGCTCAAAACTTGATAAAAACATCGTCCGGAAAGAGTCTTGAAGGTATGCCTCGGTTTGGAAGGAGAGACGATGTGTTCAAAGATGTGCGAAATATTTGATAAAAATGCCACGTGTCGTTAAACTCTCTTCTCTTTCATATGCAAAAAAGGTCAGAAAACATAACTGGGCCGTTTGTATGATCGTTTTTATGCTTGCATTTCACTGATTACTACACGTACTCGTACTAGGCAAAGGTATACAAGTGGATTCTCTATGACACTCCATTGAAAAACATCGGTAATGAGTGATTATAAACCTAGAACTAGCGCTTTGTTAATCATGTTTCTCTGTGTTTGTCTTGTCACTCAAGTAAATAGTTTTACAAACATTTTTCTCAAAACATCGTCTAGAAAGCTTTTTATTTCAAGCCTGAGATTCTTGACAATACATCTATGTATACTCATGTATGAAGTACTCACAAGCATAGAAAATCACAATTGCGACACAACAAAAATATCTGTTCTCCACAGTCGAGGGTTAAGTGAATCGACACGACGAGCGCTACTTGCGGATTTTCAAAATTCTGAAATATGCGTACGATGGGCCGCTAAGAGTTACCTATTTATAAATACTATTCTCTTAGATTATAGTACATATCAATAGAGCAAACTTTAAA